ATCATCTTCTCTGTCCCCCTACACGACCAAGCAAATCACCCTCAGCCACAGCCACCAAAACTGACCCCGGGAATCAAGAATTCCAACACTTTCCCAAGAATTTTGAATTCTAATCAGAGTATCTTACAGCAGAGTTGAGAATCATAAAGAGAGGAAAACAAGCCATGTATTCATGGTCGACATCATCGAACAGACTTAAGAAGGCTAAGACTTCAAAGGTCCATATACACATAATCCTTTAAAGGCACAGATAAACACACACTAACACAGAAAACCTAGGCCTATACACGCACTCTCGAACATTTTACCTGCTTCAGAGCATTGGGCAAAGAGTGACTGGAGCTTTGGTTGAGGCATTCAACGCCAGACCAATCAATAAAATCCAACAGATCAACCTGAAAATCACCCGAAAAACGAACAATCAGAACATAAACGTCGAAATCAAAGCAAAAACTTCAAAAAAGTTTCTAATTTCCGGATCAGAAACTCCACCACATCGAAAACCCTAGAGCTAAGATCCACACGATAAGGAATAAACATGGATTTACACACAAAACCCATAATCAATATACGAACCTGGCCTTTCGGAATCCCGCTTGCTGATTCAGCGGACATTGCGAGCTTTTTGGCTGAAAAAACTTAAATCTAGGGATGATCGAAAGGAAGAAGAATATTACGGATTACACAGAGAGCCCAAATATGATGGTGCTGTTCCTTAAGACCCTAAAACGGTGTCGTTTGGGAGGCAATCTAAGGTTTCCTGTCTTTTGACCTTTCACTATTCAATCTTATTCTTAACAAAAATTTAAAATATGAGAGAAAAATCATTTTTTTTCTCAATTACCATAATATCCTTTTTTACTGAAGTTGATATCAATTACTTTTCTTTAAGATACCATATAATTTTTCTTTAAAAATTTAGATGTTAATAAAACTATCCCATTTTTTAGAACTTTAAAAATAGCATCTAAATTTTTATGTTTTCTAAAATTTCTGAAATCTTTTTTTCCAAAATTTTATAAATAAATAAATAAGGAGACGATTTATTAAAATTTTGGAGGAATCGGGTGGATTATTGAGGTTTAAATATAAACTGATATGGTCAGGGAATCTAGAGCACTGAGTATGTAAAAGGGAAGAAAATGGTATCACCATCATCATCATCATCATCATCATCATCAACCCAATACATACCTTATATGTCATTTTCCAACTATACCCCACAAAGGATTATAAAACTCCAAAATTGCCATTACCCCTTCTTCTACCTCAAACTAGGGGTGAGCACGGGTCGGATACCCGAGAAAATCGAGAGATTTGGATTCGGATCCGGGAGACTCGGGTATTTAACTATAAGATTTGTATCCGGGATTTGGTATTTACGAGTATCCGGGGTACGGGTATCCGAAATAATAGTCGGGTACTCGCGGATATCCGGATCCGGATTTATTTAAGAAAAACAACAATATTCATATATAAAATTTTTAAAACATGAAGATATATTTATAAAAATTGATGAATTATGATAAAATATATAAAACAAAAGAGATAATAAGAGACAAATAATAATAAATTTAATTTTTTTGAATTAATATTAAAAAAATATGAAATTATTTCATCTAAAATAATTGTATTTTATAAAAATGTTATATAAATATAAGATATAATTATTTATAATCATAATACGCGGGTACCCGCGGATATCCGGTTTCAAACCACCGTTTTCCTCTCCTCCAACCACACAGTGCGTAAGCTCTTCTCCAATGGCTTCCTTATCCTTCGTCTCCTCCTCCTCTCACCTTAACCTGCGCACCCCCTCCCTTTCCCAGCGCACCTCTTCTTCCTCCAGAACCTACGTCCCCTTCTCCGTCAGAGCCCAATCCGTCGCTCTCACGCAGGACGACCTCAAGAAGCTCGCCGCCGAGAAGGCCGTTGAGTCCATCAAATCCGGCATGGTCCTCGGCCTCGGTACCGGCTCCACCGCTGCCTTCGCCGTCGACCGGATCGGTGAGCTCCTCAACTCCGGTGAACTCTCCGACATCGTCGGAATCCCGACGTCGAAACGCACGGAGGAGCAGGCTCGGTCGTTGGGCATCCCGCTCGTGGCCTTAGACACGCATCCTCGGATCGATCTCGCCATCGATGGGGCCGACGAGGTGGATCCGAACCTGGATCTGGTCAAGGGCCGAGGAGGCGCGCTTCTCCGGGAGAAGATGGTGGAGGCTGCGGCGGAGAAGTTCATCGTTGTGGCGGACGAGACGAAGCTCGTGGACGGGCTCGGCGGAAGCGGTTTGGCGATGCCGGTGGAGGTGGTTCAGTTTTGCTGGAACTACAATCTGATACGATTGCGAGAAATGTTCAAGGAATATGGATGCGAAGCGACGCTGAGGGTGGATGGAGAGGGGAAACCCTACGTGACGGACAACAGCAATTACATTGTGGATTTGTATTTCAAGGATCCATTGAAGGACGGATTCGCGGCGGCGAAGGAGATCGAGAAGCTTCAGGGAGTGGTGGAGCATGGCCTGTTTCTGGGCATGGCGACGTCGGTCATCATCGCCGGTAAGAACGGCGTTGAAGTGAAGAACAAGTGAAGATGATGAACGGAATCTCTCTCTCTCTCTTCTTCTTCTTCTTCTTCAATGACAATTTTCCTTCTGTATATTGATTGATGATGCCGATGAAATCGGAGAATCTGTAAGATTTTGAGAATAAACTTGAAACTTTCTTCAAATGCCGATCCGAATTCTTCATCTGTAATGGTTTTTCAGAAATCGCATAGTGTCTCACCCAGATCAAGCCTTGTTATGAAAACAATCCAATTCCATGGAAAACGTATCAAAGTCTGCAACTTTATGTGAAGATCGAATCAAAAGTTTCAAACTTTATACAACAAATAAAGAGGAACTTATCCAATGATTCATAAGCATATGAAGAACAATGCTTGAAAGTGAAACCGCCAAAGAATCTGGGTCCTTGTAGAGCAATTCGAAAATACTTGGGCTTTTTCATATTTAATGTCGTCTTCTTTTTCGCTGGGCTATGATATGGGCCTTGTAGTGCATTTTGAAAATGTCGGGCTTGAAACGTAAATTTTTAAAATAATGGGCTTCCTCTAGCTTTCGTATTTAATCTCTTTTCCTTTTTCGTTGGGCCTTTATCGAAACCCAACTATATATATAATCGTCTATTTTAAAAGGTAATTTAGTCTAACTGTAGTCTCAATACTCATATGGAATTCGCAATTAGCGGTAATCCATATCATTTATCTACATATTTCAATTGGAATATAAAAATAAATTTAAATTTTGATTTGAGGATATTTTTTAGAAAATAAAAATCGAAATGAAATAAATTCAAATCTACCTAAAAAAACAGAATTTAGAATGTTCTATATAATCGAAAAATGCGAATCCAAAAACAAACCTAACCGGACCAAAGTGCGATATGACCACTCATAACCTTATTATTCTAAATTAAAAATTGACTCATTTATAGAACATAAACAAATCACTTGGTGTTTTACATTTATAAAGTTTGAAATTAATATCGAGTTGAAAAAAATATATAAAACTTTGTTTGTCAGCCAATGAAAATCCGACACGACAGCTAAGGGAGAGGGGTGCACCGTAAAGGGAGTGTGGTGAGGAGCAGAGGGGGAAAACCGAAGAAGGATTGGTGGGTTATTAAATAAAAACGGGGCCCAGTTGCAGCATGCATTCACGTGCCCTGCCAACACCGTTGCCGTTAATTACACTATCATCTGCATCTGGCTCCCTGCATAGGATTCTATACTCTCCCCATCACCACACACACACACATATTTTTTAAAAAGAAAATATACACATGTAAATAAAAATAAATAAAACATTTTTTGAAGGACCGGGAAGGGATATTATCAAATTACATTTTTATAAGAAAATTACGTTCCTTGCCATACAGTATTTTCTTCGTAGGCGGCGTTATATGATAGCTGTTGAGGTTGGATCGTAAATATATATTTATATTCGGATAATATAATTATTTCTTGATTATATATAGAAAAATGAAAGTGAGGGTGTGATTTCCATAGGTACGAATGGTACAATCAATGTGTGGGCTATAATCTCTTTTTATGCATTTGGACAGAAGTCATTGATAGCCGAGAGGGATTGACACAGAGGTTGATGTTTGTGTTTTTTTTAGTATTACTGTCTTTGTCTTTGCCCATTGTTTTTTAAAAATATTATTATTTCCTTTCCATTTAATATCAGTCAATTGTCATGGTACAAAATAATCTATATATGATTCCGTAACAAGATACTGAATTTAAATATGTAATTGTTTTAATGAGATACACTTTAATATATTATAGATATACACATTTGAATCCATTTGGTCGACAAAAATCAAAATTTGTAAATGTTGTAAATTAATTTAAGTTATGTTGGATGTGAAAATCTATATATCAAATGAGTTTTAGTTTAATGTTGTCAATTAATCAATTTTAAATTTTCCACTGCTTTTTTTAGTCAAATATGAATATATTTCCAAAAAAATATTTACAAGACGGGAAAGACAAGTTACAAAAACATCGAATGTAATATAATTACTAAGTTTCTTGGAATATTTTTCCTCCAAATAATTACTCAAAATTATATATATATTTTTCCAATCAGATTAAATAGAAACTAGAACAAGCAGAAAAGCACAGAGATCAATACGTACGTACGCTATAATTATTCATTTATGAATTCATACCAACCAAACACCTTCATCTTATATTTTAATGATAATTGAATCTTTAATTCCTCAAATAAAAATATAAAAATAAAAGAGAAATAACGGAAGGTAAGGAGATAGAGTTAAAAAGAAGAAGAAGAGCTAAGTGAAAGCAAACACCCAAAACACAAAACCATTCCAAGAAAGAACAGAAAAAAAAAAACCGAATTCGTCCCCCCCCCCCAAAAAAAAATGTTCCATGGCGGAGTCCCGGAGCAGCTCCGCCGCTTCATAGCCGCGCCTCCGCAGCCACGGACGCCGGAGATGGCGGCGGCGGCGGCGACAAGGGCCACACCTTTCCCTGTGTCTTTTTCTTCCTTTGAGACCACCGACCATTTCATGAACTCCGTCTTGGGTAATAACAACCACAAGATCATTCATCACCATGATCATCATGTTGACATCAAAGATGCTGGGAATTCCAGATGGATGGGTCCCATGAATCATGATGACGATGGTCATCAGTATCGTCATCATCATCATCACCATCCATGGTCTAGCGATGAGGTTCTTGCCCTTCTCAGGCTCAGATCTACAGTGGAGAATTGGTTCCCTGGGTTCACTTGGGAGCACATCTCCAGGTATAAATACACACATACATGTACATATATAAGTTGGTATATACATACATACATACATACATATATATAACCATTATGTACCTATACGGCTCAGCAAATTATTCGGTTCTTTGACACGTAAAAGCCCAATTAATTTGTTTGTGTTATAAAGGAATCCCATATTTTGTGAAAATTTTAATCAACTGTGGATGAGAATTTGAGTTTAAGTTGATGGAAGCAAACTAAATCTTGTTTTGTTCCTTTCTTCTTGGAGCTCTATAAATTTGAGTTTAGTATAGAAGCTTATCATTGATAATGCCGAGTGATAAATCTCCAATTATACCTTGACATGACAATTTGTATGTATGTATATATATATATATATGTATGTATGTATGTATGCATTGTGGGGGGTCTCACATTTTTTTTTAGTTTAAAAGATTTGAAATTCTTTTGAATTATGGATATCAGATAAAACAAAAAAAAATCCCATCACATGTGCAAACTCACATATTTATTCTGTACAACTGCATAGATATTAAATTCGGATAATGATGATGCGTGAATATAGGATATATGTGTGTGTATGTATGTATGTATGTATACATGTGTGTAATGATGTTTTGGCTTTTTTTCGCAATGATGGTGAGCGTAGAAAGTTGATGGAGGTTGGGTTTGAAAGGACTCCACAAGAATGCAAAGAGAAGTTCGAAGAAGAGGAGAGAAGATATTTCGGCAATAATAATAGCAATGATCACATCAACCATTACAACAACAATGGCAAAGGCAATATCAGAATGTTTAGCGAGCTTGAAGAGTTTTATCATCATCATGGTCATGATGAACATGTCCATGATGATGATCATGTATCATGTGAAGATGGGCACGGTCAAAACAAGAGGCAGAAGCCAGTAGAAGAGCCAAGAAACCAAGCAAAAGACAGAATGGGACAAGACATGGAAGAGGGCCCGAGGGAAGAGGAGGAGGAAGTGGGGATACACCATGGCAAAAGCGAAAACATTGAAAATGATGGGAAATCATCATCATCATCATCAAGTGCGATGGCCATGATGATGATGATGATGGGCGAGAAGAAGAAGAAGAAGAAGAAGAAGAGGAAGAAGGAGGGGTTTCAGCTGTTGAAAGGGTTTTGCGAAGGTCTCGTGAGGAACATGATTGCCCAACAAGAGGAGCTTCACAGGAAGGTTCTAGAAGATATGGTGAAGAGAGATGAAGAAAAGGTGGCAAGAGAAGAAGCATGGAAGAAACAAGAAATGGAGATGATCAACAAGGAGCTTGAGATTAGGGCACATGAACAAGCCCTAGCAAGTGACAGAAACTCCACCATCATCAAGTTCATCTCCAAGTTCACATCTTTGAGTGAAGATGACAACCATCACCATGATCATCTTAATCATCATCATCATCAACAACAACAACATCGACATGGGAATAAGGTCCAAAGCCCTAGCACTTCTCAAAGTTCATCTTCTTTGGTTCTACCAGAAACCCCAAACAGCAAAATTCAAACTTTATCATCTCAAACCCGGATTTCCGAAAGTCGTTTATCTTTCCACCACAACAATGAACCCATTTCAGTTCAAACCCTAAAAACCAATACCCATAACCCCAAACCGCCAAAAAGTGATGGAAACTGCGACCTTGGCAAGAGATGGCCAAGGGATGAGGTTTTGGCTCTGGTTAACATCAGGTGTAGCATCAGCACCAAGATCAATTGCGACCATCATGATCATGAAGACCAACATCATAAAGATGGACCATCATCAACATCAAAGGCTCCTCCTCTGTGGGAGAGAATCTCGAAGAAAATGCTGGAATTGGGGTACGAGAGAAGTGCCAAGAGATGCAAAGAGAAATGGGAGAACATCAATAAGTACTTCAGGAAGACCAAAGACGTTAGCAAGAAGAGGCCAGTTGACTCTAGGACTTGCCCTTATTTTTACCAACTAAGCGCTTTGTACAGCCAAGGCTCCCTCGCCGGCGCTACCGCCGGAAAGGAATATTCCGGCGGCCAAGACCCGGAAACCCGAGTCGTATCTTCGAACATTGAGTCTGGAGATGATCCAAAAATGCACGTAGCTGCGAATGGTGATGATTACGAGAAGAACACAGTTCAAACTTCGGGTTTCGATTTTGAGTTCTAGTTTTTTTTTTCTGTCGGATTGGAAATTTTAAAATTTTTGTCATAATTTCAAGTTTTATATATCTATACATATCGACATGCAGATACGAATTAAGCGTCATAATCGTGCGATTAACAAGGGAACCCTCTTGTACTGTAGTGAGCACCGACAAACAGTAGAATTCAGTTTTACACATTTCTACAAAATAATAAACCTAAAATTAATTAATTTCAGCAATATATATATATATATATATGAGCTGTTTGGTTCAGCATGAATTTCCAATATAGGACAAGGATTGAATGCCATGTCAGTGGGAGGAGACATGTACATGTTATTATTACAATTCTGAAGGACCATCGTTAGTGTTGTTGCTAACATGCCCCTTAGGAACAATTGCGTAGTTGTCAACATTGCAACCTGCTTCATTTTAGAAAAATTAGGCTTTTATTTATTTATTTTGGGTAGAGACGGCCATTTATTTCCCCATTAATATGAAATATAACATGTTCGTGCAGCTATTTTCTATATATAAAAAAAAGTGTATTTTTTTACAAAAAAAAATATTATAAACTCATGTTGTTTTCTCCATAATTGTACATACAAAACTAAGCGAAATCAATTTTTTTTAAAAAATATTTGATATTATTATTGATATTTGATTTCGAACGTGGACAAGATCTACGGCTAGAAAAGGCCCCACCACGTGGCCTAATACATCCCAGACTTCACAAACAAACACGTACAGTGAATGTCCTAAAAAAACCCTAGATACCCCAAGAAGACCGTGGGTCCCACACGTCACATAATTCCAACATTTATAATGTAATGTAATTTAATTCAATTTAAAATTGGATTAAAGGGATTAGGGATACTCTCCTCTGATGCAGAATCCGTCGTCACATGCAAGGGCAAAGACTCTCTGCACCGCTCTATTGTCTTCTTCTATCGCCGCACGTGCGTCCTCTGGTCCCCCCCTTATCCGACGGCTCAGATTCCCTTTTGTTTTTCTTTTTCTTTCCTTTCCTTTTGCATATTAATTATTTTGTTTGACCTAATAAAAACATCATTTCTTAAAAAAAAATGATTTTTTTCATCATAGACATAATCTCTATTAAACGGCGTCGTTTTCAGCTACTCTCGTTCTCCTTCCTTTCAGCTTAAACTACGTCGTCTTGGGTCAGTAAACATCAGTTGAACGTAAATTCCTCAATACCTTTCAATGGAACAAACATGAGATTCTTGAGCAAATTGGAAAAAAAGGGTGATTTGAGTTCAGCTCTTCTGCGAGTTCATGAGCATATTAATGGCGTTCTTGAATGGATTCTTGTCTTGTTTGGCTCTGTTTTTTTCTTCTTTCCGAAATCTGTTTCTGCTTACACATACAAATACGGTTCCTTGATCTTCTTCAGACATGTTTATATATATGTATCCTGTTTCCATGACACGGCAGTTGTTCATATGGAGAAGAAGACAGGGATTTTGGACACAGACTGTGTTCTTCGAGCAAAACCCTGTATCTGATGCGTTTAAGCTCAAGCAAATCTGGACCCAAGATGCAGTTTTATGGCTTCTTTCTTGTAACCTTTACGTTATTCAAGATCAATGCTTGTGAACTAGACAGCTCAAGCACAAAGTACGTGCGCGCATTACAGTGACTTTTGGACCAGACCCCGAAAGCAATCAGTGTTCTGTTCCGTTCTGTTCTGGTCAGAAAATCAAAGCCAGCTTTCCCTCCCTGCAAGAACTCACTAGATGATGTATCACAGAGATTGAATCATCCTCTTGAATTGGAGAACAAGATTCAGAAGGATCCCCACATATTCCACAGATTAAAAACAGCCAGAGAAAGAGACTCAATGAGAGTAAACATAGGATATACGGGCAGAAACGTTGAGCAAGAATCTAACGCATTCAAGAAAAGAAGAATTTCCCATATCCGTACTTCTTCCCCCCTTTCACCTTCTGTTTGATCTTTCATATCATTCTCGGACGATTCAGGTGGTTTCGTACTTAGTAGTATCAGATTTAAGGAACTCATCTTGGACAGATCCATCTTTGACATCATCATTCAAATGTCTTACATTCGATTATCCTGTCGAGATGGCAATGGCCCTTTACTGTCAGTCTAAGTCATCAATGACCAGAGGTTGTTAGTCTCTGCCACCATAAGTTCCAGACACCAAAACTAGAGGAAGAACTAAGCTAAAAACCATTCGAAAGTCCACTGGCTTCTGGAAAATCCCTTCTATGACCACCAAGTCATGCTAGCAATTGAGAATTCCCTGTAAGAAACCTATAGATTAGTCGTGCATAGAACACAACATGCTCATGCAGAGAAAACTAAAGATTTGAGGAGAACAATTGACGATATTTTCACCATCAATTCTTGACGTGATTTGATTAATCATGGCTTCCAACCGCCCTGCATCCATGGCACCGGAATTTGATCTGAACGACTCAATTCCAGAAGCATAACATCTGTTACAGATTATCTGAAGTTTTTGTTTCTTCTTCCTCCTCCACATCCTAAGTGGACGAAGAACAAGAACAATGGTTTAACAGCACAACCAGAACAGACATATGAACACATAGATGTAAATGCAGATAGAAGACATAAATCACAGGCAAAGACAAACCATCTCAGGAGGGGCATATCTAAGGATGTCAGGTGAACAACATTGCCATCCATGTCCACTTCATTAACAATATAATCCGAGTAACTGTAAAAAATATTTGAACAGATATAACTTAATAAACGAACAGAGCTTCAAAGGGCTAATTCATACACACGAAGCTGGTTCATAGCAAAAGTCATCACAAACACACCCAAGGTGAGCCTTTTAAAAAATATAATTCAGAAGTAAACAAAACATCATGTAAAGAATCACTTAGGCCAAACATTTAACATACTAAAAAAGAACACTTTCACCGATTCCCCACAAACCCAGAAAATTATAGAAACTACCCAACATAAAAAAAAAAAAAGGTTCAAAATTTGAAATTCCTGACCCGTGAAACAACCTAGAAGAACATGCATCGGGCATATACTACAACAAAAAACGAAGAGAACATGCACCATTCACTTACGGATCTTATGACCTCTGTTTGAGAATACCGCAGAAGAACGGGAGCTGGAAGATGAAGCAGGAAATACCCACATCGGGATCTTCCACGGTTTTCATCTTGTCTAGGGTTTTAGCAGTTGACGCCATTGTTGTTGTAGTGCAGTGGTTGCTCAAGTAGGGTTTTAGCAGAGACTCAAGACATGACGATACAGTTTTCTTTGGTTCCATTTGCTCCAGTCGATGTGAAAAAAGAAACTTTTAAACGCAGCGTTTTGTTAACCAAACCCGATACTGGTCCGAATTAAACCGGAATCGGACAGTACCGAACCGGTTCAGTCTCGTCTAACTCGGGGAAGTACGGTACGCAAAAAAGGCGACTTTCCTCTGGTTGGCCTTCCACTATTACAGATCGAGAACTCTAGGTTCAGGCTTCAAACCTTCCGCGGAATCAGATCGAGTCAGTGTTGAGAGAGATGGTGACGAAAACGGAGGAGACGCAGTTGAATCAACTCGAGAATCAGGTCGATAATGGCGGAGGCGGCGCGTGGGAGTACCTTTGCCTTGTTCGGAAGCTGAAGGTTCGTCGGTCGGAGAAGGTGTTTAAGCACGGTCTCTCGATTTTGAATGATCCTGGAAAACGATCTGCTCTCGGCCCAGAAGGTAAGTTGAGTCCTTTGTGTGATGTGATTCCGAATATCTTAACTTGTTGATTCCGAATTTGAGTTGGGTTCTTCGGATTTCGGTTTTTATGCGATTTCGATTAGTCCTGGTGGGTTTTGTTGGTTGAATTCTGGGTATTCTGAAATTTATCTGAATTGAAAATCTCTCAAACTAGGTTTAAGTCTGGCTGCATATCGCTTTTGTCGACGGGATTGATGCTGTGATTCTTTTCCGACCAAAAAAACTTGATTTTGCTTGTAGTATGGTCGACATGTGTTTGTGATAAATCTGGGTTTCGTAGTTAGATTGATTTCTTTATTGTATGGTCCCTGCTTGTGAAATTGAACATCTTGTTTTAGAAGCATCTGTCTTGCTGCTGATCAGGCTTGTACACTAGTTGCTGTTCAGGGGCCTGAGCAAGCTTATAATTGGTCTGTAAAATTTGCTCTGTTTTAAAGTAGTTTGATTTTAATAAGTGTCAAGAATTATGAAATGTGGACAGTCTTCTTTCAGCAACTTTGGGTTTCGAGAACTCGAAAATTTAGTTAAAAGATCATATCTTGCCTATAGTTACTCTGTATCATTTGACCGAGGAAAAAGAGTAGAAATTGTTGTTTATCATTCAAAATCTTAAGTTATACCCTTTGATAGATTACGAACAGACACCCTATATTATTCTTTTGCCAGGAATGATATTCATCTCCGTGTTTGTACAGATGAAAAATCTGACTTTATGTTACAAGCTGATAAGATTAGAGCTTTGGTCTTGGTGTCCTATCTACAGATGTTTTTAGCTTTAAGGGTTAGGAATTAAACGGTTATATTGCTTGCTAACCTTACAGTTATATATTAAACTAAATGGTAATATACCTACATTTTCTTTTCAGAATGGACCCTATACGAGCAGGTAGCAACAGCGGCTATGGACTGCCAACGCCTTGACGTTGCACAGGTGTATATCTTTGCCTTGCCTTTGCACATTAAAGTGGTACCTTAAGAAGCAAATTTTTATATTGGATTTGGATCATCCCTCTTTCCATTTATGTTTATTGTTTTGGACTGAAGCTCATGCTGAAGTTGTGACCTCTGAAATTTTCCATATATTGGTGTATAGCTTGGGCACATTGCAGATACATTGTGATATGAATTTGTGTAGTACAATGTTTACTAAGAATGAAGAAGTTGGAAATCGTGAATTTTGATTTTCATGTGCCTTAATTTCCTTTGTCTTTTCCTTCTCGAGCTGGTCATCTTTGTTAGTGTGAAATCAGGGGATGTTTTACCACCAGTATACCTTCGGGGTTTTTTTTTTTTTTTTTTTGCAGAATTGCATAAAGGTTTTGCAGAAGAAATTTCCCGAGAGCAAGAGGGTTGGTAAGTCAATTTGAGCCTTGGCAAATTGTACAATTATGCTTTTCTGATTTTGCTGAACTTAATGGTTTTCAAGTCTCTTTCCACTTTTCTCCGCTGTATGTTCTTGCATTTCCTTCTGGTCTGGTCTACAATATCGATATGTAATGATAACAGTATCCCTTGGTTGCATTTTGCTAATGAATTCCAGGCAAGCTAGAGGGATTGTTGCTTGAAGCAAAGGGATTATGGGAAGAGGCTGAAAAAGCATATTCAAGCCTTTTGGAGGACAATCCACTCGATCAAGTAGGCCTATGCACCTCACCTTGATGAAGCTACAACCAACTAATTCTGATAATATAGTTCTCTTACAACTCGATGTCTCATACAGGTGATACACAAACGAAGGGTGGCTATGGCCAAAGCACGGGGAAATCTTTCCTTAGCCATTGAGTTCCTTAACAAATATCTTGAGCTGTGTGTTGCTTGCTTATACTGAGCTTCATTTCAATAAATGTACATACAGAGGATGGAACCACACCGGCTGATATTTTTCACTTCTTCGACTCTCCCTTTATGCAGATTCATGGCTGATCACGATGCATGGAGAGAGCTTGCAGAAATTTACCTTTCCTTGCAAATGTCAGCATCTCCAACATATTTTTCCGAGATCATTTCAGCGACAATTACAAACTTTTCCTTTTCGGTTTTATCCCTTGTTTCAGCCCAATTCATCATTTATATATGCGTAACAGGTACAAACAAGCGGCTTTCTGCTATGAGGAGCTCATACTATCTCAGCCTACAGTTCCACTGTACCACCTAGCATATGCCGATGTAAGGCCATTCTTTCATTCTCAGTTGATTGTTATCATACATCTTTATAGTTTGGACAGCAAACTCATAAGAAAATGAAAAAAGGAAGATACCTGAGTCATCATATAACATATGGGGTTCGTCGGTGATGCTAGGTATGGTAAGTCTAGACACAATTCAACATTTTGAACATAGTAAATAAAGTATGAGGGCATTGTAATGAGGAAGTACTCTTCAATTGTGATTCTTGTAGGTTGCATCTTACTTAGGAAGTTGATAATATACTCTATTCCTTTCTCTTTTCCCTTTGGAAATTGCCCTTAGAAGCTGTAAACACGTAAAACCTCCATGCGAGAGCAAATATCGTTAGAAAATCGGATGCAGAACTTGGAATCAAGTTTGATTTTTTTCGTCCTCACCTTGTTACTTTAATCTGTTTGTGATGTGTCCCGAATTAGGTGCTTTACACAATGGGCGGAGTAGAGAACCTTATCGCAGCGAGAAAGTACTATGCAGCTGCCATAGACTTGACGGGCGGCAGAAACACCCGAGCCCTTTTCGGGATCTGCCTGGTAAGCTCCCTTACATCTCTTCCTATTTTCTTCAGGTTTTTCGTCATCTTCTCTCTCGAGTTTGAGCCTGAAAACATGAATTGCCATTGTTCCGTTTCAGTGTGCCTCGGCCATTTCGCAGCTGTCAAAGGGGAGGAACAAAGAGGATAGAGACATGGCGGCGCCCGAGCTTCAGTCTCTGGCTGCAGCTGCGTTAGAGAAGGAGTACAAGCAAAACGCTCCTTCTAAGCTTCAGCTCCTCTCTTCCGCGTTGAAAAGCTTGAGACTTTGATATCGGAAACGCCGTTTGAGGCCGGCAAACGCAAACGCAAACGCAAACGCTGGTTGGGTCGGTCGTGGATTATGTGGAACATGCATGGTAGACTGTACTATCAGTTGGAGGTTTCTGCAAACATTTTTGGTGTTTCTGATTTCAGCCTTAGTGTCTGGTTTTTCTATTTCCCTTAAATTTCTGCATCTCTTAAAATTATTGAGATTCTGTCACTTGGTAATTCTTTTTCTGTTTTTAATTTTAAGCTAATAAAAAATAAATTATAAACTCTGTATGGAGAACTTCTTATTTACATGGGCCATAACCACAAGTAATTTTGATTTAGGCCCAAGCCCGTTATATCTGATGATATGGTAGGCCCAACACTTATAAGTGACGTGGCAAACGATGGTTTTCTGGTAATTTCACATGCACCGAATTAAAGCCCTAGCAATTTCTCGGTATAAAGTCCTCAGATGCTCTACGGGCTCGGAGGATTAGGGTTCGTATTAGGCTGTTGCGGCTTCTTCTTCACTGGTCGTCGTTGCTGCTACACCCACCTGAAGATCCCTAACCATGGCCGTTGGGTACGCAATCTCTCCCTCGAATGCTCTTCGGAGGCTGTTATCAGAGCGTAGATATGGATGCAATATGGACGTGTATCGGTGTACCTATCTCTAGCTTCGAAATTGTCTGATTCTGACCCGTCTCTTCCTGTGTTTCAGGAAGAACAAGAGGATCTCCAAGGGTAGGAAAGGAGGAAAGAAGAAAGTGTAAGTTCATATCTTGAGAATGATTTCTGACTTTCGATTTACATTTATTCGTATTTGTGCAGATATATGCGTACATATAATTTACATGTTCTTGGTTTCGAATGTTTACAAGATATTTGAATCTCGTATTGTTCCACATTCGGTTGATGGCGACTGTGTTGATGATGCAGGGTTGATCCTTTCTCTAAGAAGGATTGGTATGACATTAAGGCACCCTCAGTCTTCAGCGTAAGGAATGTCGGGAAAACCCTTGTTTCTAGAACGCAGGGTACCAAGGTAATTTCCCGAGTCGTGTCATTGCGTTTTCTTACAAGTTTGGTTCCTAGTGTATTGTGCCTGCCTTATATAGTGAATATTATACTGTGGTGTGGTTGAGAAAGCCTACATTTCTTGGGTATGAATTGTATTTTCTAAAAAAATCGATACGTGGCTAATGTAGAGAGTATGAATTCTCTGTACAGTTTTTTTTTATATTAGTTGAAGGATTCAGAGCATTGTAGGTTGAGATAATGGTCATCTCTTTAGATTGTTGAAGCGGATAGTGTTTTATTAGTAAGAGTGAATGCTGCCCCCATGTATCTTATTCGTTATTACATCTCCTTCTGTGTTGCAGTATTAAGTTGAATGTATAGAACCAGACATTTGGTTGTAGCTGTATTCTGTGTGTAGTAATGTTGTAGACTCTGGCCGCGTCCTTGACTATATCTAACTATGTTATGTGTTCCTATACTTATCAGATAGCCTCTGAAGGGCTGAAGCATAGGGTTTTTGAGATCTCTCTTGCTGATCTTCAAGGTGATGAGGATAATGCTTACAGGAAGATCCGTCTAAGAGCCGAGGATGTTCAGGGTAGGAACGTGCTCACTAACTTCTGGGTAAAGCCTCTTTCTGATGATTCATATCTAACACGAGAAGCTTTGTTTGTTTGTTTTCCCTCATTAGAGAGGTGAATTCTTAAGCTTTTTTTCACTGTTTGTGTTTTCTGTAGGGCATGGATTTCACGACGGACAAGCTCAGGTCCTTGGTCAAAAAGTGGCAGACTCTGATCGAAGCCCACATTGATGTCAAAACCACTGACAACTACACGCTCAGGTTGTTCTGCATTGCTTTCACCAAGAGACGTGCCAACCAGGTCAAGCGTACTTGCTATGCACAGTCCAGCCAGATCCGTCAGGTATATATATACACACCTGTATACATATCCCTGTCCGACACATGGTTCACTCACTGTCCAGCCTCCATTGGTACTAATTGCAGATCCGAAGGAAGATGAGGGAAATAATGGCGAAGGAAGCTTCATCATGTGACCTCAAGGAGCTTGTTGCAAAGTTCATTCCGGAGGCAATTGGCAGAGAGATCGAGAAAGCAACACAGAGCATCTACCCGTTGCAAAACGTTTTCATCCGTAAAGTCAAGATCCTCAAGGCTCCCAAATTCGACCTCGGCAAGCTCATGGAGGTAAAACATAAAAAAAAAAAAATCATGTTTTTTTGTCATCACTGATGCATCAACTGGTTGCCTTGAAGGACAAAATGGATCTAAAATCTGGCAATTATATGTTAACTGTTTTTTCAGGTTCACGGCGATTACTCAGCTGAGGATGTCGGGGTGAAGGTGGATAGGCCGACCGATGAGATTATGGCCGATGAACCAACAGAAGTCATCGGGGCTTAGAAGATACGGGACTGCTTTTTCTTATCTCTCTGCAGGAATGTAATGTTTCATTGTTTTGTCTCGCAATAGTTTTTTTTTTTTTGGTCCGGATTTTGGTTAACAGTAACAGAGATTCTCCAGGACATTAGCCTCGGTGTGTTTTTATACACAAGTTCACATCCTCGTTTTGTTCTGTCTCCGTTATTCAAATGGATTTCTTTGTAAGCTCCCAAAATGTTGCTTACTCTTCAATGTGAAGAATCTTCTGCTGCCATGATACAGAATTTGATCCTCTGGTTTAGAGCTCTATCGTATTCACAACCAAGAGTTAGAAGATAACACCAAATGCTGCACCGTGGAAACATAGTCGACCCAGCACTAACTAGCCAATGGCTTGGAAGAAAATTACCAACTTGAGTTGAAGACAGAAATACAAACCAGCTCTTACAACTGAAGTAACACACATATACACATCATATCGCATCCTAAGCAAAACTTCTACATACAGAACACCCTACAACACAAATATGAAATGAAGATAACCCACACTGATACACACACAGCTTTCTAACATAGAATCTTGGTTTGTTCTTCTACTTTCCCACAGAGACCAGAGGCAAAAATCAAGAAGAATCATCCCCGGCATGAGTAACGGGAAGAACAGGAGACCGAATTGTTGTTGTTCTTGTTTCGAAATCTCATGGTGATGTGAGGGAAGGAAATGGTGATATAGAACTCAGGAGCAGCATTTGGTTACTACTGCTTATAATTTCTGATGTTCCCTCTCCTGGTATGACTTGCAGACACCGTTCCGACTCCAGATATGGACATTCTAGTACCTTCCTGCTTCAGTTGAAAGCAATACATAGTAACTTACCTTTTTGGAGATCCTTATATTCAGAGTTACTTCAGTCTGAAGTGCATAACAACGAAGAGAGAGACAATACCTAGGAGCACCAATATCGTTATGATCAACATCATGATGCGCATTTGGATCTTTCACATCTTGCTCTCTGTCTTCCTCGTTGATCATGACTGCATCAGGTTCTTGAGCACAGGGAAAGTGGAATTGCTCTGAGAAAAACGTGAAAAAAAAAGCAGTCAGGAAACTTGTGTGAAACAATATGTGGAGAAAGGAGTGCAGAAAGCTCACCATCTTTATGTCCAAAAGTATTCTTACAGCCTACACATCTGCAGCTTGGAGAGCATCCAACACCCATCTTCACAACAAAGGCGAGATAAAGTCCAACGGTTTAGAAGGGACATGACATGAGTGAAACCTTTTTTTTTTAACTGACATGAGTGAAACTTGCGTTGCGGAAAACAGATAATAAGAATTGACACTGTTGTTTTACCAGAAAGCATTCACAGTATTTCTTTAAGCAGCTTGATTTTTTGCAGTTGCATCCTCGTTTGTGTCTGGCGGAAGCAGGAGTTTTGATGTTCTCGTCCTACATATTGACAAAGCCATAGAGTGAACCACAGAAATAGCGTAAACATGAGATTGATAGAAATCCCAGTTTCAGTACTGTCATAAGGGTGCAAGTAAAAACCTATTTCTGTCAATTGTCCTAAGTTTGAGCCTTTTATGGTTCATGGCATGATTTTATAAATTTTGAGAATTTCTTACCCTGAAATCTGAAGCAGAATCGACTGAGGTGACCACTTTTGGAGCAAAAGCTAGTGGATTACGAGCTTCAATCTGTCGACGTGTGTTCATAACTAACTCTTCATGAATGGGTTTGTTGAAACAATCTTGACATGAACAAGGTTCAATACAATACAGTCCAGCAGCAAAGCAGTCACAATATCTGATAGCAGAAGAAGCAACAGGAAACTGAGTTGTTGACATTAAAAAAAACGTGTGGAGATTTCTTCAAGCTGGTAAAAAAAAGGACTTACAGTTTCAAGCATTTTGACCTTCTGCATTTACAGCGTTTGCAGCTGACGCTTTCATCGAGTCCATCTAATTGCTTCCTGCATAAAGATATCTTAAGGATTAGTTCGAAATTTGAGGGTACATAAACGATAACTGTAAAAGACAACATAAACATTAAGTTCTCCACCTCTCTCCTGTCAGAACATCATTGTCAAAACATTCTGCATCTGTAAATTTCTCAGGACCCTCCTCTGTAATTTCATTATCACAAGAAGCCAAAACTCTTTTTGTGGAAACCGGAGTTGAGATCTGACTGTCAAGTATCTGATTAGATGTCATAGGAGCAAGAGAAAGAACACGACCAACTTTACATATTAATTTATTCTGATTGGTTGAGGTGTTCACGAGACCATTCAAGTGCAAACCAATCGTTGGAATTGGTGGAATATCATCTGGATCCTTCTTGCTGGGGACTGGCAGCATTTCAGGAGAAGGAACCTTGTTGACGGATGCCGGTTCTGTAGGAGGGTCATTTGTGGAATCACGCAGAGGCTTCTTTTTGCAAGATCCACCCACATCAAAAGTCAAACAGCGCCTCCGGATACTCCGTTGCTGTAGGAGTTATAGTATATCTTATTAGAAAATTTCTAGTCAATAAACAAGGAGATGGTTTGGATTTCAAGACTAGCACAAGTTATCTGAGCAATACAACATCAGCAAACATGTTTCCACCACCTGAACCCCTAAACATAGGATATAGTGGAAGGAATTCTTTCCCAGCATTAGATTCCAGCACATTTAAATCAGAAAAGAATAATGAAATATGCATTGTTAAACCAGATGGAAGAGTACACCTACAAATTAGCATATTTCCTGCATTATGTCTAACTGAACCGATGAACCATTGTTAGGTGGGCTTCATATAAACATGGATAATATTTCACATAAGGAAAAAAAAAAGACCTTGTAACATAAATCAACAGCAGAAATTTTGTTTAGCATATTACCTTTCGGCTGGGCTGGAAGCATTTTTCTTCCTTGTCTTCGGTTTTGGCATCTGAATCATTAACAATTACCTCAGCTGAACAGCTAAAAGTGATGTCTGGAGCTCCAGAAGCATCTTGTACACCACAAAAACCTCCTGCATTTACATTCTCCGAGTTATGACAAACAGGTGAAAACTGCAGGGGAGCTAAAGCAAGAGAATTGGTTCCAGGATCTGCTATCCTCTGATTCTGTTGCTCACTATCCAGGATACCACCATCATCAGAGTTCGAGTTCGTCATGCCAGACCCGTTGTAACTCTCCCTTTCATCAGTTTGAAACAGTGTCAAATCAACACCAAGTTCAGTTGGATAATTTGGTTGTGTATCTTCATCAGATTTTGTCATTGATTCAATGCTTCCTTTTCCATTTTCAGTGCCAGCTGATATTTGATCACAAGAAACCATTTGAATATCGCATCCATCACCTCCATTTTTCAAGGCCTTTGCCAACTCAATTGCCAAGCTGAAATGCTCCTTGAGTGGCTTGGTTTCAGAACTTTTATCCAACTGGTTAAACTTATCACACTTGACCTGCTCACCACGTAGTTCGGATGACTTAACAGCTTCCGGAAGATCCCTTGAGTTATTTACAGTTCCATCAAGGAGGAACACTGGATTCGGTATGTCCGGAGAAGATCGATGCCTAAAGAAGGAAAACAAACAAACATACAATACCCATCTCAGATTACGAAAACGAACAAAAAAACCCTTCTTATGTCAACTCAACCATGAGAATAACAGAAACCCAGTTTTACCTTTTAATTGAAAACCTAGATTCTCGATTAGGGTTGATCTGTGGCGAAGTGAATAACGCCGAAGGTGATGCAAAGGCAAAAGAGTTCAAGATGTTATCAGCAAGAGCTGACTTAACCGGCTCTATGGGAGAGAGATCGTTGATGTACTTAAAAACAGGAGAATCCTGCACAATAACGATAGAAATGGAAATTAGAATGTAACTCAGTAGAAGCATCACAACAATTACAAAGAAAAAGCCGCATGACCAAACCCAGAACTAATAAACCGCATGCACTAAAGATGGAATTGAATGGGAAATATCAAATTTAATAAAATTCAGATACGCGATTTCAATCATACACAGAAGGCATGCATGTGGAAAGTCTCAATCAACGAGAGAACACAGAATATAACCCTAAATGGCACAAATAATGGTTAATTAACCAGAAAACTAATGACCGGAACGGAATCCGGAACCAGACAATCTAGCGAAATCTCCGTTTCAAAATCCAAAATCGAGTAAAATACGGACCAAAAACAATCCGACCGACGAATCCGGGAAAAAATATACATGCAAACCCTCTCGTAGACCTTCAGAATAACTCTAAAGCGGAGAGAAAGTTTCGGCAGAAATTAGAAACAAAGAAAAGTTAGAAAACGGTGAACAGAGAGAAGACCTCGAAGTTGCAGAGAGGAACCGCTGCGATGCGGTTCTTATCCGGCGTATCCATCACCAGCGAGGTTTTTGCTCTGCCCACTGATCCTACACGATACCGCCTCCCTGCGCCGCCATGGACGCGCAGTAAGAAGCTAGGGCAAGAGCTCTAAGCAAAGAAGAAGAAGAAGAAGAAGAAGAAGAGGCTCTTCTCTCTCTGTTGTTCAATGAACAAAAAAGGTAGAGATTTCAATGGCGGTGGGGCGGGAAAGCGGGAAAATTACGAAAATAAAGTGAAACAAAATAAATCATCTACTTTGTTTATTTAAAAAAATAAGCGAAAAGAGAGACACAAATGGGCCTTTAATTAATAAGATATGGGCCTCCGAGTTAAGCCCATGTATTTTCAACATGACAGAATTTTGAAATTTTTTTTTTTTCAAGTTTTGGTGTGAACAAAACAATCGGACCGGGTACACGATTCCGGATCCGGTTCACAGAGAAACCTTCGGGTCGGGTCCGGTCGGGTCGGGTCGGGTCGGGTCGGTGGGCCAGGCGGGGCCTACGGCATGCTCCTCTGATGCAATTTCGCCATGGCTTTTTAGAAAAGCAAACATTGTGATGTGATGATTTCACAAGAGACAGTTGGGACGAAAAGATTGTTATGTTTCAACAGCATTGCGAGGGGGGGGGGGGACCCCATCTCTTCGAAACTTTTCAAGATTCCTCTGCGACAAAAAAAAAAGGAAGATCAAACGGCAAGGAGTTTCAGAGATTCTCCATCAAACGGCACGCAATGCAGTTCTTCTTCCCCCTTTTTTTCCCTGTGACAAACCAATGGATATTACAAAAAGGGGGGGGGTAATACTTTATTAGGTGATGTTATGGATAACAATAACATAAGCATTTTCCTGTGTGTGTTACATCAGATTGATGGTTACTAGCTTGGAGATTGAATAAAAAAGAACATGAACGGCTGCTTTGAAAACTAGTATTTGAACAATATTAGACCAAAACCCTTTTCCTACTTGTTAAGTGTTAACGTCTAACATCGACAGACCCGGAAAAGTTTTGCGAGCTCTCAAGGTTCAACATTTAGTTTCTGGGTCTGTTCAGTTCGGTTCTGGTTCATCCTTTTTACTAACCATGTTTGGACAAGATCTGAATTCTTGTCTACAGTAGTTAATGTCTATCACTGACAAAGCTGGAAACTTTTGGGAATCTATGAGGCAGCAAAACGAGGGGACCAATGCAAGGAAAACAGCAAAGTGGACATTAAACTTAGATGACTTACTGATTTCGCGGCTCAGGAATCCAGAACAGGACATTCTCCAAAGACACTTTGATTGAATACCCTTTTATGCCTGCAGGACCAGTTAAAAAGGGTTTTGACAATAGCATTAGTTATAAACAACAGCTAGAAGCTTCCCGCTCTCTCATCTCTCTGAACTGAAAGTCCAGATTGCGAGAGACAAGACATGGCACAGTGAAACTCCATGAAAAAACGAGTTAATTAGAGATGTTCTGTCCATGTATATCTAAGGGGGACAAGAAATGCAAGTAATATTGTATCAAATCTCCATGATTCTCTATCAACAATCTTCATGAGTAACCTGTTGATTCGAGGACATGATCACAGATATACGAAACGTTTCTAAAGTCATTAGCTTCAGCATAGGCCGATATAGCCTCTTACCAAACGACCAGCAGAACATTCAAAAGGGAAGAAACTGAATGTCAGGCATGATCTGGGTTTAAATTTACCCAAACTGCCCAGGAATGAAACATTATGCATCTGAAAAAGGAAACACAGATCTTCTGGGCAGCTGATTCCACGATACAGGGCCAGCAAGAGCGGCTCTGAACAACGTTACCTGCTTCAAGTCTCATGTATACACTTAGAATAAATTAAGTAGCAGATACAATATGAAGATCAAGGTTCTGACTGATTATCTTGCAACTTCTAATGGAAAAACAAGAAGAAAGCCAAACAAATCAAACCCACTAATTATGATAAATAACAAATGTTGACAAAAATCAACAGTCACTTTTACGCTTTTGTTAGAGCTCACAAGAAGGAAATCTCTAGAAACCCTGCTCTACTCATTCTTCCAAGCATATAAAATCAATGAAAAACCAAAACTTTGAGATTTGGCGTCTGTCAGGCTGTGTGAGAAAGACCAGGCCTTCTCCGCAGATTGACATGTCCTGAACATAAACACAGCATTTCCCGTCGATGGGATCCCGAAGAGCCAACTGTGAACATCCCATAGAACTTCCACAGCCATTCTATCGACAATTATGGTGTCGTTGCCACGGAACTTCCACTTAAGCCGCTTCACCTGCATCATGGGCTTTCCATTCACACGAACAATGAGGCAAGGATCACTGACACTGGTGTCACATTCAATCACCAGATCATGAGTTTTACCGTTACCGGAAAACTGAGCCTTTGCTGCAAACACTCTCTTACCAAATACATGCTCTTTCTTGGCCACGAACAAGGCACTTGAAGATGAAGGTGTGGCATTCGTCTTCTTGAAAGCTTCCTTATTCATATCACCCAGAAGGAGGATCATTTCTTTGTCCACAACAACGCCCACATAGAAACCAGCCAAGGGTTCAGGTCCGGATCCGAATTTCGCAGATGAGAGATCCCAAAAGACATCGACTTTACAGGAATATGCCTCTAGACTCTTAGACCCTTTTCGTTTCGTGAACAACCACGGCTTAATCTCGACTTTACACAGACTTTGGTTACAAGAATCATCAATTCCCACTGTCAGGCCTTGACCAATCAGATTCTTGGTCCATGTGACTGTGATCAAGCAAGTTCTGCCACGAATCCGACACTGGTAGATGCAAGTAACCAAATTCTGGGCGTTTTTACCAGCATTCGAAGACGAAGAATCCGCAACTTGAACGCCATTTTCAGCAAAACAAGAAGGAAAATCCCTCATTCTTGAAACTTTGAATTCCAGCCTCTCTTCGACTTTTCGACAAACACCTGGTGGCCAACTGCTCAACCCTAAGAATCAGACACCGCAGATTTGCCTCAGACACTGACATAAATAGTAACGGACGCTGTAAGAGAAAAGATAACCAGAGAGATTGTAGAATTTACCAGAAACTGATGAATTTCATCCAAGCAGGGGAAAACCCGACTCAGAATTGCTCCGAAATCTTCAAAATCTCAATAGATTTGATCTGGGTTTTCTCAATTCGATCCGTGTTCAACAGGGAAATCCATTAACCAATAAATTGTTTTGGAGAGAGGAGAGAGAGAAGTTCAAAGCAAATCGCCAAAGTAAAGGGGAATGTGTGCTAAATAACTCAAACGAGACAGAAACAGACAAAAAGGAGACTTGTTTCACTGTCAACAAAAATAAAGAAATTAAAAAAGAAATAAAATTAACCAACAAAAAACAATTAACTTCGAGTGAAAAAAGGAATAAATAACGCATGACGAAGGATATAAAATCAAAAGCATGCCTTCATAGAAAATGAATTCACACACCTCTAAAAATTAAATAACAGTAATAAACAACAAAATAAAATAAATAAAAAACTGTATTTATTTGTTAAAAAACTAAAGTGGATATTCTATACTAAATTCTCTAATGTATAAATGAAGATATAAAAATGAGATTTGAAAAAGAAAAGTAGAATTTGTGATATGTTACGGTTCAGATGTTATGCTTCGACCACAAGAAATCAATCATATAGGAACAAAGAAATAACAAATATTAATAATTAAAAAATAAAAATTGCAAAATATATGGACAAAAAAAACAATATATTGTATTTATTTACGTCCCAGATAAAAAAAATTAAAAATCAAAATCAAAATATGTTTATTCAATTTCCAAAAAAAGCCAGCCTCATCAGTCATCATCATCACCACCATTCTTTCTCTCTCTAAATCTATTATCTTTTTCCCTCCCTCTATGATATATCTTTTTCAATACAATATAAAAATTTGAAAAGGGGTGTTCTTTGGTTGAATCCGGAGATTATTCCACATTTACAATTTCACTTAATTGGAAATTGATTGTTTTTATTAAGTTTCGGTTTTAGAAAATTACAATCATTTTTTTATTTTGAATTCAATTCAACTTTTTATCTTGGTATATCATTTTTATTTATAATAATATTAATTTTTTTAATTGATGTTACTATTATTTTTATATTTTAGTTAAATCCAATTCAGATATAATCATATGTTGTTGAACTCGAATTAAATTAATATCGCATATCTAGTTAGTATGTTATTTGTCTAATAATGTGATTCAAAGCCGAATTTTAATTTGTATTTTATTATTGGGAAACATAAAATGATAAAATAGATCTCAAAGATGTTATAATGGTTATACAATGTGTACGTGTATATATATAAGAAAACAATATTTGTGTCTTTCTTATCAAATCAAATTAAAAAATGTGTATATATACAGTTTACCATGGATGAAATAAAAGTTTAAAAATAATATGGACCATTTTTATTATATTTTATCTAATTTTACTAGCAAAAAATTATTCTTATTATTTAACAAAAAAAATTTATTCTTATTCTTTGTTGTTATTATTTTTTTTGCAACTTCAATGGAAAGAAGGAAATGGTATTCACGTGTGCTTGTCGACGAGTAGTTGTCATTGCCTTACAGCCCAACAATGGGCCCATCTTTCTTGGGTTATTTTGGGCCTTTCATAGCCTTCATGTTTATTTTCTTTTATATGCATATATATACATATTATAAAGATTATATATATACATATATATTCACATCCGATGGAAAAATTTTACTAATTTCGATTTTATATTTATAATTTTCTTTTTATTTTCTTGGTTTTGTGATGCACATAGATGATGGTTTACATGACAATCTTAAATAACACAACTTTGTAACTAATGCCACGCCACGCTTTGTGACTTTGGATATCATAATTGATTAAATATATTTTGTTATCAATATGGCATCCCATTTATATCCATGATTGGACCCACCAGTCTTAGCGCAATCATCGGTCCCTTTACTAATTTTTCTTGGTTTTTATCCTAGTTTCATTTTCTCTATTTATTATTTTCGTAGTTGACACATACGTATCATTCAATCAACAACTCTGTAATTTCTATTCAAAATCAATTTTTCTCATTAAAAAAAATAAAAAAACGCATTTTAAAAACTTATTCATCGATCACATCGACTGATAAAATATTATCACTAATTGCTAAAAGTTAGGTGTAATGTGTATATATCTTTTCCAATTTACCAAATAAAAATATGTGCGTATTTCATTCGTGGGCGTAATATATACATATTTATTTTATTATTTGGCTAAAATATATACATACCAAAGCTGTTAAATTCGACATTGTATTGAAAAAAAATTATCCACAATTGTTCGGACAGTCACAGATCAAGATTCTACGTCGGTCGTACGATCCCAACACTGATGGGCCTGTAAGCCTTTTACGGCCCATTACCGTCTCTTACCAACCGTTGTTCATTAGGCCCATAAATTCGGCCCATAAGTATATATGAATTGAAATTTTAAAATAATTAATGGGGGAAACCACAAGTATAATTGATAATTAACTAATTGATAATTAATATACTACAAATCTGATGTTATAACGAAAATGAAATATGATCGCATTCACACGATCCATCTCCTTCATGATTCATCTGTCACGTTATTTAGATATTTCAATTTAACACTTACACGGCTTTTATCTCCCACTTTTATACAATCTACTATCCTATATAAAAATTATAATTATTTAACTATTTTCGAGAATTTATATCCATTGGTGGGCTGGGCTCATTCCTACCCTGATATGTTTTTTTATGCGATTTTTATTTTCCAAATTATTTATTAAATTTAATTTCAAATTTTGTTGAATTTTTTTATATTTGGTCTGGATTTGATTTGGCTTAAATACAATTATGAATCAATTTTGTATATTAGTAAAAGTGTACATGTTTAATTATGTCAGGATATAATCCAACTATAGCTAAGTCCAAAAGCTACATCAGATTAATTGATGTTTGATTTGCATTTAATTTTTTTAAATAATGAATATTTATCATCGATATTTCAATATTTTGTCATGAATTTCATGGGCGACCATCAAAATTGAACAACTATATTTAATTAGGAATGTGGTGAGACTTAATTATACGTTATTTAAGATTAAAAATTTGTATAAGTTTCTGTAAAAAAAATAATGAATAAATACAAAATATATAAATAAATAAACAAACGGTGGTAGGTGGTCATTTTCATTTACTTGACAAATATTTCCTTCCGTACGGGCAAGCACGGAATTCTCCGAATGAGCAGTCAAACATATTAAGGCCCATTTAATTAGTCAATTAATTAATCACTAATCTCAATAGCTTGCTTAACTTAATCGCCACCATCACTATCAAATCACGTTTAATTTAACTTTTCATAGTTTGTTTATGCTCTTATGCGCGCGCATTCACACACACACACACACACATACATACATACATACATACATACATACATACATACATACATACATACATATTTCCGAAGAAAAAAAATCAAAGGTCGAAGACTCTGTTAACCAAATTTGAGAAAATAAACTTATATTAACAACAAAAGTTTAAATGAAAACGAAGTTCGTGAAAGCAACATTGATCGATCTTCAAATATTTTAAACCAAGTATAATTAAATAACATTTAATTAAACGGGATTCAAAAATAGTATACGATAAATTGGTTATGATATGTTAAAATTTAACTAAACAGATGCAAAAATAAATAACATGAAATAATAAGATTTTGAATAAAACTTTTATAGCAATAAAAAAATTAACTTCTAAAAATCCAGATATTATCAAGATCTAAAATATAAAAAAAAGTTAATGCATTTAAGTTTTTAGAATGTAAAATCCAAAATAAAGTATATAAAAAATCTAAACACCCACAGTACGCTTGTACGTGTTATACATTTGTCTGGTTGCATACTCTCGCCCACAGTATTTGCTTCAAAAATCATTAATAAAAAAATCGGAATTTAAAAAACAAATTTTGATGCAAACTAAACAAAACGTTGATACAAAATATTTTTTTTTAACTTTATTTTTTGAAATCCCTACAGTTTTTTTAATTGGGATGTATATATCTGAATTATCCATAAAAAAATCAATAAAAATTAAAATTATAAAAAAAAATTAATACAGAAAATTAGTGTCAATTAACTAGGATTTAATATTAAAGTTGGTGTTAGGAAAGGGACCAAGTGGATAAAGCTTTTTATTGGTGGTTCTACTTCATTATCACAACAAAAAATAGTCTAGTTAATTGCCCTTTCCATAAAAAGGCTATGATTATAATTGTGCATGTCTTCGTACGTACACACACATGCACATGTGTGTACAACATTTAATAGGCCATCCATCATTATTTATTGCTATGATAGTATACGATAAAGTCGTGATTATATATATATATATATATGTCGGATTATATATATATATATATAGGTGTGTGTGTGTGTGTGTTGTGGAATATGGATTCACTAGGATTGCATGCATACTATATTCGAGTTTTTACTTCTTTTTTTATTGGATCTTTTATTTACAAGTATCACAACATGTATCATTAAACGATCTAATTACAATAACAAAAAAATATTACTTTTGGCCTACATCCCGTCTACCATAAATACAACATATATTCGAAATGCATTACCAATATCTAACCTATATATATATATATATATATATAAAAGATAAAGTTATGTAAAATCCGAAGATGGTAAGGTGAGGAATTGTATATTGTAACTGTAAGTGAAGATATCTGGCGTTCGATCTAACAATTTGCTATCAGAAGACTGGTTTTACATCACTCGTTAGATGTATTAACTTGGATTTATCGAGTTTTCTGATTACTTAATTTTGTCTCTATAGCAGTAACGTTGTCCTTATCAGAAAAGATAGAATACGTCTTTTGTTTCATTATTAGGTTTAGAATGTCGGTTTGATTTATAAATTAAACATCGTATGTTATTTCTTATTTATAAATTCACCATTTACTCGTGAGATATTAGATTTATTGAGTTTTCTGATTAGTTAATTTTGTCTCTACATCAGTGATGTTGTCTTTATCCGAAAAAGATGGAATTTGTCGTTTGTTTCGTTAGATTTGAATGTCGGTTTACTTTATAAATTAAACGTTGTATATTATTATTTTATTTATAAATTCACCCTCCACTCGTGAGATGTGCGTAATAATTTGAATTTATCGAGTTTTTTGCTTGGTTAATTTTGTCTCTACATCAGTAATATTGTCCTAATTAGAAACAAATAAATCTATCTTTTGTTTTGTTATTAGACTTGAATGTCGATTTGTTTAATAAATTAAACATCATATCTTATTACTTTATTTATAAATTCGTCATTCACTCGTGAAATATAGTAATTTGGATTTATCGAGTTTTCTGATTAGTTAATTTTGTCTCTACATCAATAATGTTGTCTTTATCTGAAAAAGATGGAATTTGTCTTTTGCTTCGTTAGATTTGAATGTCGGTTTATTTTATAAATTAAACATCGTATATTATTATTTTATTTATAAATCCCCCCTCCACTCGTGAGATGAACGTAGTAATTTTGATTTATCGAGTTTTTGGTTAGTTAATTTGGCATCTACATCAATAATATTGTCCCAATTAAAAACATTATATCTTATTAGTTTATTTATAAATTCATCCTATGAGAGATAATAATTTAGATTTATCAAGATTTTTTGCTAGTTACTTTTGTCTTACATCAATAATATTATCTTTATTAGGAAAAAGATAATTAAAACTCACGTTTGTTTTCTTACTGTATTTGAATATCGATTTATTTTACTCCATCCGTTTTAAAATAATTGTTGTTTTAGGTTATTTCACATTTTTTATGAAAAGAGAAAAAAAATCACATATACCTTTATTTAATGATAAAAACAATGTTATCATTAATATTTTATTGGAATTTGATAGTGATAAAATTAGAAACTATTGTAAGAAAATATCTTGAAAATATAGAATGACAAATATTTTAAAACATGGAAAATAACCTAAAACTATAAATATTTTGAGAAGGAAGGAGTATAAATTGAATATTATATCTTATTACTTTACTTATAAATTCATCATTCTTTCGTAGTAATCTGAACTTATTAAGTTTTTGTTTAGTTAATTTTGTCTCTACATCAATAATGTTGTCTTTATCTGAAAAAGATAGAATTTGTCTTTTGGTTCGTTAGATTTGAATGTCGGTTTATTTTATAAATTAAACATCGTATATTATTATTTTATTTATAAATCCGCCCTCCACTCGTGAGATGAACGTAGTAATTTTGATTTATCGAGTTTTTGGTTAGTTAATTTGGCATCTACATCAATAATATTGTCCCAATTAAAAACATTATATCTTATTAGTTTATTTATAAATTCATCCTATGAGAGATAATAATTTAGATTTATCAAGATTTTTTGCTAGTTACTTTTGTCTTACATCAATAATATTATCTTTATTAGGAAAAAGATAATTAAAACTCACGTTTGTTTTCTTACTGTATTTGAATATCGATTTATTTTACTCCATCCGTTTTAAAATAATTGTTGTTTTAGGTTATTTCACATTTTTTTATGAAAAGAGAAAAAAAATCACATATACCCTTATTTAATGATAAAAACAATGTTATCATTAATATTTTATTGGAATTTGATAGTGATAAAATTAGAAACTATTGTAAGAAAATATCTTGAAAATATAGAATGACAAATATTTTAAAACATGGAAAATAACCTAAAACTATAAATATTTTGAGAAGGAAGGAGTATAAATTAAATATTATATCTTATTACTTTACTTATAAATTCATCATTCTTTCGTAGTAATCTGAACTTATTAAGTTTTTGTTTAGTTAATTTTGTCTCTACATCACTAACGTTGTCTTTATCTAAAAACGATAGAATCTTTCTGTCATTTCGTTACTAAATTTGAATGTTGGTTGGCTTTATAAATTAGATATGGGATATTATTACTTTATTTATAAAATTCACCCCTCACCAAAGAACAATAATGACTTGAAAAAAAAAAACAATGAAAACGCATCTATCCATGCATCATACATCACGGTCATGACGAGTTTACATGGGAAAATGGGGTGCGAAGGAGAATGTGCCCTAACACATACAACGTGAACGTGAACGTGAACGTGAACATGGACATGCATGTGGCCTACGTAACATCGCATTGGGCTATCCTCTGCACCATCCTATCGTCATGTTAACAAACTTTGTCTTCTCTCTCATTTTTCTTCTGATTATTAATAATACTATATAATATACAATTACACCTACGAATTTTTTTATATAGAAAAACTATTACTTCTCTTGACAGTGAGTATGTCACCTTATTTATTTATTTATTTATAAAAACAAATATTTTATACTTTCATGATCCACTTGAGTTATTTTTAAAAAAATTGCATCTAGACAATATGTGTGGGTAGTGTAATAACTTCTAGAATATTAGATTAATCCAAATATTATAAGAAACAATAGTTTATATAGCTATTTTTTCTAAAATATTTTTTGGTTATGCGGAAATCACATGTCCAAACTATATCAAAACGAAAAGCTATTTAAATATCCATCATTAATTGTGATTACGGTATATAAATATATACACACACTTTGTAAATTATAATAATTACACTTTGTAAATAATTACAGATACATTGCAACTGCGTCGAATTTCGCGAGTCACATCACCCGAGCAGCATTTCAGTTATTTTTTTTTGTCGTATAACTATTTCATTATGTCTTGTTCACTGATATTCATGCAGTTTGGGGATATTCTTTTTTTAAATTAATTACATATTTGTATAAATGTGTATAAATATTTGTACGTATAAGGTATTATATTTATATTTTAAATAAGATTATTACGGGGAAATCCACGTGGCGAGCCTATATCAGCCACGATAGACGTCTACGCCCGTTTCTTTGTGGAGATATATTGCAGTATCTAAAATCTCTATGTCGGTTTAATTTGGGTCACCATTTTAATTATTAACCGAATAATTAAATCGAAGTGAATTGAATAAGATATAATCCAACATAAAATTATAATTTTTCTAAATTCAAAAAGTTTGAAATCGAACAGATTAAAACAATAATAAAAACTGATATTTTTTTTAAAAAATAAATAACAAATAAGTTTAGATAAAAACGGAATGATTATAGTTTTCTATAACCCAAACAATCGAATCAAATCAAATTTGAACCAAAATCTGAAATGATGATCCATAGATTTAAGTGATTTACTTAAACCTTAAAATATGATTAGACGTCATTTAAATATCCTTTCCAAATTTAGATAATCCCTTATACGAAGAGAATTCCCTTGCAATACAACAGTCCTTTCTCTAAATATTATTAAAGTCGAAATTTAGTAGTGATCTCAAAGGTTTTCAATAAATAACAAACAAGTTTAATTATATCTGAAAATCAATTTTCAACCTTAATATCGTTTATCTAATTATAATTTGTTGCTTATATTTATTATATGTGTTGAATTCCACTCTTAATACTGTTGACTAAAAAATTATTAACTTATTTATTTATTTATTTATTCATATTGTTGGCTTAATTAATTCATTGTTCTAGTTAATTTTTGGCAATTAGCAAATTTATACTGCTGTTATGATATAGAACCGTAGTTTTTTTTTAAAGTTAACTGGCTAAATTTCGTGGACTGTAATATGAATATGGAAAGCAATTTATTTCGGAGATTAAATTAATAATATATATTTATAATCCTATGGATTACTCATGAACGTAATGATCCAGCAATTATTATTTAGAGATATATTAAATAAATTGATATTAAAACATAAGTTTTTCTCTTTTTTGACCACTCCTCTCTCTCTCTCTCTCTCTCTCTCTCTCTCTCTCTCTCCCTTTTCTTCCCCTTTGTCTTCTTTCATGAGAGGTGGTTGTGTTTCTCTGTAAGAAAAAAAACCTTCCATTGAAGAAGGCTCGTCTTTCTTAGATCATACAGTCTCTCTCTCTCTCTCTGTTTTAGGTATAAATAAGAGCATATATACCAATAATGTCCATACTCACACAAAATCATAACACAAAGGCTACGAGAAGAAACCCAACTCTGCAATCTGCAGATATCCAGTTTTTTTCTTTTCAAAGGAAGGAAATTTCATTGACTGATTAATAAAGTTTCCTCTTTGCTCTCTCTCTCTCTCTCTGAATCGGAAAGATGAATGGTTTGAGTCATCACGAACAAGATTACTCCGAGTTCGTCGAAGTCGATCCTACCGGAAGATATGGAAGGGTAAAATTTAAATATCTTATATAAGTCTGAAATGTTTTTTTGTCGGATTTGTCTGTTTTCTCGTTAGGTTTTGTTTGAAAGTTGTTTGGGTGTGTTCTTGTTGCAGTACGATGAGATTCTTGGCAAGGGAGCTTCGAAGACTGTGTAAGAATCCGATCTCGATCGTACCAGATTTCTTCTGTTCTCCTTTTGTCTATGTCTGAAACGCTCGATTCGGGTTTGCTCAAGATTTCTTGTCTTTCCCTTTTTTTCTCTCCTGAATTCTGCATTTTTCTGGATCTGGTTATGGAGTTTCATGCCTAACTCCCTCTTTAATCTTCCTTTTTAGGGTAAAGTTTCGGACTTTCTGTTTTCCCAATCAAAACCCATTTTGCGATCCATCGAAATCTCGAGAGTGCCCTTTGGATTTACGATCTTTTGAGTTACTGATTGAATCTAAGTATCCTCCTTTCAATTTCAGATTTCTTTCCAAAGAGAAAAAAGTTCTCTCCTTTTCCGCTTCCTCAGTGACTTGCCGTTTTAAAGATTCTTTTCCCGCAAAAGAAGAAAAAAAAAAATCCCTTTTCTGCATCATTTTCATTTGTTTTCTTGCTTATCCATTCCAGAATCTGCAAAAAAAAATGAACTTTTTTGGCCGATTCATCATAAACCAACTGGGTGATTTTCAAAAACGATGATACTGAAAACAACCGATGGATTTTTCTTCTTCTTTTTTTTTTTTGCAGTTACAGAGCTTTTGATGAGTATAAAGGCATAGAGGTGGCATGGAATCAGGTGAAGCTCTACGATTTCTTGCAGAGCCCCGAGGATCTGGAGAGGCTCTACTGTGAGATCCATCTCCTCAAAACCCTAAAACACAGAAACATCATGAAGTTCCACACTTCTTGGGTCGACACCTCCAACCGGAACATCAACTTCGTCACTGAGTTGTTCACCTCTGGCACCTTGAAACAGTAAAGACCGTTAGCTAGCTTCTGTTTCTCTGTTCAGTTATCTGGTTTTCCCTGTAACATATTCTCCATTGTTTCCTTAGAAAGACAGTTTTTTTTTGGTGGGTGGGTGATATATAACGCAGGTACAGGCAAAAGCACAGGAGAGTTAACATAAGGGCGGTGAAGCAATGGTGCAGGCAGATACTGAGAGGCCTGCACTATCTCCACAGCCATGACCCTCCTATTATCCACAGAGATCTCAAGTGTGACAACATTTTCATCAACGGGAACCAAGGCGAGGTCAAGATCGGGGATCTCGGGCTGGCTGCTGTCTTGAGAAAGTCCCAAGCTGATCATTGCGTCGGTAATACGCAATCTGTCGTCAGATTGAATCTCTCAGGGAAAACGTTTTTTTCTCAGTGGCTGAAAACGTTTCTTTTGCTGTCTTAGGGACACCCGAGTTCATGGCTCCAGAAGTTTTCGAAGAGGCTTATAACGAGCTGGTTGATATTTACTCGTTCGGGATGTGTATCTTGGAAATGGTTACATCCGAGTATCCGTACAGCGAATGTACTCATCCTGCTCAGATATACAAGAAAGTTATGTCGGTAAGACCGTTAAGAACATGGCAAAGACTGTTCCTTTCTGACACAATGCTCGGTTTTTTCCTGAGTTCCGGTTGTGCAATTTTTTTTTTCAGGGAAGAAAACCGAATGCGCTGTACAAAGTGAAGGACCCTGAGGTTAGACGCTTCATTGAGAAATGCTTGGTGACTGTGTCACTTAGGCTCTCGGCCCGGGAACTTTTAGATGACCCTTTTCTCAGCATTGAAGATGGTGAATGTGATTCAAGAGGCCTTGACATCGGTAGCCAGATGGACTATATTGGCCCTCGAGTTAGGCAGCCTTCAGTAGTTGACTACTGCAATCGCTTATTGCGCCGTAATTCTTATCAACATCAGTACCCGAACGGATATCACGGTAATGATTATCAGAATGAATGGACGTACAACGCAGCTGAGACAGAGACTCATGGGATAGAACTCTCTGAATGTCAGAACGATGATCACGAAGAAGAAAATCCGGATTCTGGTTTTGTTGACATTTGCATCAAAGGGAAGATAAGAGATGACGGTGGATTGTTCTTACGCCTTAGAATAGCCGATAAGGAAGGTGAGATACATTGCCATTTCCTATCTCTCTTTTCCAAAATGATCGGATATTTTCAGTTCCAGAATCAAACAGTACATATGTTCTTTCAGTTCTAGAGTAGAGAGAATGACTGTAATGTCGTTGCAGGGCATGTCAGAAACATATATTTCCCGTTCGACATCGAGACAGACACAGCACTGAGCGTCGCCACGGAGATGGTGGCAGAGCTAGACATGGATGAGCACGATGCCACCAAAATCTCCGACATGATCGATGGGGAGATCGCTTGTCTGGTGCCCGGATGGCGAACTGGTCCTGATTTCCAAGAATCTCCATGGCTGGACGAGAACTCAAACATCTGCTACAACTGCACCTCGAACCGAACGTCCATGGGCTCTGTCATGGAGTTCCTGAGGAACAACCCTGGAGCCAATGTCATCCAATGCTGCGGAAACGGGTGCGGCTCTACGCACGGGCGGTTCGAGGAAATCACGTTTGAGTTGAAACAAACCGAGGAACGGCTCAGAGAGATCTGGAAGCAGCAGCAGCGGCAGCGGCAGGAGAGTCGCGATCTTAGCTCGTTGGGGTCGGGACAAAACGCATCAGATGCAGAAGAGGAAGAGGAAGAAGAAGAAGAGGTGAACTCTCAGAAGAATGAGGGAAACATGTTTTCTTGCGATACAAGCAACGATCTGTCTGAAAATAACAAGGAGCGGATCGAACAAGAGCTAAGATGGCTCAAAGCCAAGTACCAGATGGAACTGAGAGAGATTGAAGGACAGCAACTCAAGTTGCGACAATCAGATAACCGGGATGAGGGGCAATTTTCCGGTTCAGTTCCGGTTAAGGGGAAGAAATTGTACGGCGGTGAAAATTTGCTGCCGAGATGTCTGAAAAGGACAAGTTCGCTTCCAGTTGACGCATAATTCATTCTTGGTAATAGTTTATGTATACCTTTACATAGAAAAATTATATATTTTCTAAAAGCGATGATAGATTAGAGAGAGTGTTGTAGTTCTTTTCCGAATGATTTTACAATAATACCCCTAATCGAGGTCTTCATTTACCTTGGTTTAATAAAAGGCTTGAGGAATTCGGGAATTATCCACGTTTATTTCAACTTCTCCATTAATTTACGATTTGTAATATAATAACTTTATCAATTCCAACACTCGGAAATTTAATAAAAATTATATACTTGGAGATTTAGTTTTAGCGTTTCCATTATTTTTATCTTTCTTTTTTTTAACCCCTTTTCATCTCGATATATATATATATATATATATATTATTGTCTATTTTCTAATAAATGTTTCTTATAAATTGCTTTTATTTTATTTGGAAAAGAATAGTAGATAAGTCTGAATTATTGAGCATGTGAGCTCTAGCTGGCCAATAATACTCTCAATCATCACTATTATTGTTCTTTATTTTTTTAATTTCGTATTATGCATTTTATATTAAATATATAATGTTATAAAAAAGTAATCTAAATTATAGAGTATTGAGAAATCATCTTTCACTGAAGATATTACATACTTCTAAATAAATTCACTATTTTTTAAAAGTTATATAAAATGAGTAAATAAAATGTTTTATAATTTAGAATTTAATAGGGGAGAAAAAAAAAAAGAAAAAGAGAAATAAGAAGTCAATTATGACTCAAAACCCCACAACACCAGACTGCCATGTTCCATGCCGACCAATCTGTTTCAATATGGGTTCATCCACATTACCAAATCTTTTATCCTATATATGCACACGCATATAGTACATATATATATATATAATGGTTTTTATGTAATAAATTACACAAATAATTATAATAATATATGGCTGTGCTGTTTTTTTAATAATATATGAAGAGCTTGCACATATACACATCTATGGACCAATTTGGATTTTTGAACCTAGCAAAATCATTGTATTTTGGGAGTTATTATTGTCGTGAATATATAGAAATCAAATTGATTTAGACAAGGATTAACATTTTTATTTTGCTACATTTGGATTCGATTATTTATATTTATTTTTTAAAATGATGTCCGTTCGAATTTTATATGTATTTTTTTTATAAATTTTTAATGAAAACGGTATTCATTTTCTATTATTTTCATTTGATTATATCAATATTTTTAATTGAATTCTGTTGTTTTATTTAAAAAACGTATATTCAATAAAATTTAAATCAAATTCACTATAGATATATAAATATATATATATATATATATAGATATATATATATATATACATATATATATATATATTCAATTTTCGATATTCAAATTGAAAATGAAAGGTTACCTCTATTTTTTATACAAATCAAACGATACATTATTTTGTCAGGGATTCGAAAAGTTGGTAGATACATTGATGGGGAAAGAAAATTCGACCACTAACTTGGTACTATTATTTATACCGAGACAAATTTGGAAGTTGTGAATATGGTTACAATTTATTCTTTTTTATTTTTTTATTTTTCTGGTTATTTGTAAAATTAAATGAAAATGGTAGGGCCACACGGAGAATTGAATTAGGTTGACCCATCAAGGGTAAGAATAATAATGAATCATATAATACAAGGGCGCAAAGTCATTTGGTTGTGCAATGATGACGTGTAGATATTGTATATACAAAACGTACGGTTTTGTACCGAACTCCAAAATCAATGCCAACTATAATTTCCTCATTTCCCACCATTTCATTTTATTGTCGGTCCAATTCCGCTGTTGTTTTTCCCACTTTCCCTTCCATCATTTATTGTTATTATTATTATTATTATTAGATCCAAAACAAAATGGGGTGTAAATATATTTTTAATTTGACTAATACCCGTCCGTGGAGATCGGAGTTTCTTATAATATCATATTGTATTTGCAAATTTACGATAAATAAAAATAGAGATTTCTATAATTTTTTTTATGTATACTATTACTGTCTCAAATAGAATAATAGTCTTGGTATAATGATGTATATATCTACACATTAAACATACTTAATTTCCTAATACTTTCTAATACATATGTATTTAATTTCGCTTCAACAACTTTGAACTATCTTAAAATTGTTCAGATTCTTAATTATTTTCTTACCCTTTTAGATAGATATTATAAATAGATTATTAAATTGTAATTTTTTTAGGCATTTATTAAAAAGAATCCAAAGATATCCACTGGACTTTAACAAAATCCAAAGATGTCAAAGTTCGTAGGGCTTTCCTTGGGCTTAAAGGCCCAAATTAAAGATTTGTTGTTGGTTCTTTTATTGGGCTCAATTGTAGCAAACCCAATTAGAATTAGGCCCATTAAGTCAAACCCTAAGTCCTTGAAAAAAATTAGCTCTACTATATATAAATTCTAGGGTTTTAGTTTTGCGCATCTCTTTCTTCCTTAGCCGTGCGGGAGCAGCTGCAAGCGAGATCTTTCTCCTTCCTCGTCCTTTTCCTGAAGATCGCAGCCATGGCGGACAAAGCAGTCACCATCAGGACCAGAAAGTTCATGACTAACAGGCTTCTCTCCAGGAAGCAATTCGTGAGCTCTCTCTCCTTGCGTGTGTGTTTCTCTCTGTTTTAGGTTTTAACTCGAATGATTCGCTGCACTGAGCTCCAAAGTCACGATTTGAAAATTCCGTTCCCAGTGTAGATTGTTGTTGGATTTCTTTGGAATTCGTGGTAGAATGAGCTAGTTATCGGAATATCGTCGTTACTGAGAAAAATTTAGTCGCATTAATCTTGAACCTCCGCCAGATATTTGGTCATTTTAACAAACAAAAAGTTCCCGTTGTCGCGTGATCGATGCCAATGCGGCATCTGATAATGGGGGGAATGTGAGGAGTAATCGTGTTTCTCGATGCTAAGTTGAGCAGCTGGAATTTTTGGCAAAATATAGAATTTACTCGTACCGATTGTTGAAAAGTATCGGGTCTTAAGAATTCCAGTTTTTGCTGAATGCAACAGTTTAATCGTACATTGCTCTGCAAAATTATGGATAGAACTCTAACGATGTTGCAATCACCTGTTGTCTCATACTCTTGCTTTGTTATAGGTCATTGATGTTCTTCACCCTGGGAGAGCCAATGTCTCAAAGGTATATCCGATATGCTTATATATTCATCTAGTTGTCTTTCTCATATGATGCAAATTATGCCCGGTTTTTCTTCAGTTTTTTTGTTGTAGCTGGATGAAAAGTTTCTAATGATGGACTTAATGTTAATTTATGAAGGCTGAGCTGAAAGAGAAGTTAGCAAGGATGTACGAGGTCAAGGACCCAAACTCAATCTTTGTATTCAAATTTAGAACTCACTTTGGAGGTGGTAAATCTACTGGGTTTGGCTTGATCTACGATTCTGTTGAGAATGCCAAGAAATACGAACCCAAATACAGGCTGATTAGGGTAAGTCTTCGCTTCTGTAGTTCCGCTCTTTACTTGTATTTCTCAGACGTTACCATCTATAGTTATCCTGTCTGTAACACTATCCATAGTTTCTAGGCTAGCATTGTCATGTGGAAGTAGGTATTTAGTTAGCAACTATTGTTAGCATTGTTGTGCTTGTGTTGAAGTTTCTTTTTGTGAACATCAGCACATCACTAGGAAAATCTCGATGTCTTGTTAGGTTGCCCATGTTGTTAGGGTGTTAGAATCAAGATTTGTTTTTGGTCTTTTTCATAAAAATAACTGTTCCATGCCATGTTATACTGAATGCTCATCATTCATCATCAGAATGGACTCGACACCAAGGTTGAGAAATCAAGGAAACAGATGAAGGAAAGGAAGAACAGAACGAAGAAAATCCGTGGTGTTAAGAAGGTAATACAGATTTCCACTGTATATCAAACTCGTTATCTGATATCATGCATCACTCTTGTTAAATTTTATTTTACTAAACGGTAATCGTGTTCATCGATGTGTAGACCAAGGCTGGTGACGCCGGAAAGAAGAAGTGAGAACCTTCCGAAACAGATAACTGCGGTTTTGCTCTCCGTCGCCCGTCTTTTATTTCCATGTCTGAAATTAGATAATTATCGAACTAGACCTGTGTTACTGCATATCGGTTTTGTGATGTTCGATGTTTCACTTGTTCAATCTCGACCTGGATATCGTTTTAATGGTTAGAAAATGCCTGTTAAGATTTTCGTTGTTTCAGACGTTATGTGATTTATTTGAGGGTTGTTCTCGACAAGAGATCGTTTTTGGCTGCACATGGGTTTCGTGGTTGGATAGTTGTTGAAATGATCTTATGGTAGGTTTCTTTCTAAATTTGTGAACGGGAATTTGTCATGTGCCCAAGGCTGGGAGTAGAAATAGCGTTCCGCGTTTGGCGTTTATAATGTTTACATTTGTTTGGCATTATTCTACTGCGAATATAAAGTAATAAAATGAAAATGCAAAAGGCATCCTACTTTTAAGTTGAAAGTTTTCTCCTTTTGTTTTTCCTTGGTTGGACAAATATGACTTGTTCCTACTCTAAGCTTTATTTATTTAAATTCTATTTTTTCGTGCGTTTTTTTGTTGGCTCATATATATATATATATGTGTATGTATAACAGATCGTAACGTTTTTAGTATGCCGCGTGTGGCACATGCCAAAGTCAAAATAGATGAGCCATCTTTGATTCCTTCTAATCTCTCTCTCTCTCTCTCTCTCTATATATATATATATATATATATATTCATTTCTCTCTTTTAATTCAAACAAAAGCAATTTCACCTGTCTTTATATGAATGCCCAATTTTCGTATTAAATTAGTTAATAAATGAGGAATAACTTTGCGTATCATGTCACGTTTTATGGAGTTATGTTCTTATGTACCGAAGCTTACGTGTCATTGTGATCCCATGACTCATCTCCATTTGACTTATAGTTATCCCCTATTTTCATTCTTCAATATATGTGTATATATATATATATATATATATAAGTTTAAATAAAATTTGATCTAACAATTGATTTGTTATTATTGTTAAATTTCAATGAATTGAATATAAACTAATATAAAAATAAAATCAATGAAAATAAAAATATTTTATAAAAAATCACTTTTTTCAAATATAAAAGTTATATTTAAATAAAATCAAATTGAACAAGACGATATAAAATAAAATTGTGTATATTTTAAATATGATTCTAAAGATAATCCAATCAAGATAATAAAACCCAAAATATCCCATCAAACAAAACTATATCACATAGAAGCAGTTTTTTTCCCCAATTTCTGCAATGTCAAAATTTGGTAGCTTCAGCGTCTACCCATAATATATTCGACGTTTTTTTCCCCTATATATATATATCATTATATTGATATTCCTAAATTCAAAGCAACCTTAAGAGTACAAATCAAAATCTAAAAACACAATTTAGATCTATAATCCAAACTTACCTTAGAGGAGAATCCAAATTTTCTTTGTTTCCTGACAAATTGGAATAATCCAATTACATATTAAATTGCCACAATTATTTTGCAGATTCCTCTCTCTCTCTCTCTCTCTCTCTCTTCACCCTGTTTTCATCTCTATCTAAAAAAAAAAAAAAAAATCAATTCCATAGCTTTTTGGACTTGTCGGATTTGTATATAAACACCACAACTGGTTGACGTAGCTTCTCACATCTCTCCTCTCCTCTTCTTCACCCACAAACCCTATTTTTCTTCTGTGTCCTTCCTCGAATTCTCTATAGTTCTCCATTTTTTGTTTTCTCTGAAGCTCCCGATCATGGATGAAGCTAAAGGTAAGGATCCTTCTCCGCTCCTAGCATTGTGCCCAGAATCTCGGGTATCTGGATCGCGATCGAATTTTCGCTTTCCTGCTAGAGTTTTGTTGCGTCGGTTCGAGTTCGCAGGTTTTTGTTTGATTCGATTTTCTGGGTTTCGTTTCATCAGCCGTTCGTTTTAGATATACGATCTCAAATAAATCTCGTCGGAGGTTGAAATTTCTAGCCGAAATTTTGGATCTGCACCTGAGAACGTTGACTACTGGATCCGGATTCTCTCTTCTCCGGTCAAATTCGATGCTGAATTAAGTTTCCCCTTTTTCGTTGTTCTGATTCCGGAAGTTTCAGTTCGATTTGGACAATTTATTTATTTATCATTTAAATTATTTTGCATGAAGATGAAATTTATCAGCCACATGTTATCAATCAATATCACAAGTGTACTCATCCATCACAGGCCACATTTGGGGGAAGACAAATGTTGATCATAAACAGGTTTCGTGTGGTTTAAATTGAACAAAAGAAGAGCACTTTGGTCTGAATCTGATTCATGAATCGTCGTGATTACCCATCTGTTCTTTTGTATTCTTGCTGGATTTACGTTGGTGCTCAATAGATTCTGAATTTGCTTAGAAACTCGCCTTAATCTCTTTCTTGTTCCTCGGGAAAATTTCTCTGGTTTGCGTCTTTGAGCAATTTTACTTGTTCCACAAGTAAGATCACGTTGCTCTTTCAGATTCTAACTTGCTGTATGAGTAACCCTGACTTGTTGATCTTAGATGTAAACAGAAACTGCCCTTGTTTTTTTAAAAATTATTTCTTTCTGTTTGAAATTGAGCACACAACCCAAGATGTCTGATTGTTCTGTGTTTGAACTGTGTAGTTGTGGAAGCAAGCAATGGGACCATCTCAGTGGCTTCTGCCTTTGCCGGACACCAAGAAGGTACGGACTTTAAAGAACATTTGAATAGATCAGTGACATGGGTAGGATTTGATTCAGTGGTTATAACGACGATATAGCATCCCAATTCTGTTTTTTTTTTCTTTTGCTGAATCTTCTAAGCTTGATCATGTGCACAGCTTTTGTAATGGAATATTATCTGTTGCTTGTCTTGATTATTACATGGCAGAGTCTGCTTTAGTATATGTTTGATTCACCAAAAAGACTGCTGTTTGCAATCTGCCCACTAATCCAATCATTGATATCTCTGAAATTGGCAGATCAAAATCTGTAACCTTTGTCAAAATTACATAGCAATCTTTGTTTGCAACATGCCCTTATTGCCTTCTCGTGTTGTTTCAATCAGTTGTTCAGGACAGTGACCATAAGTTTCTAACTCAAGCTGTCGACGAAGCCTATAAGGGAGTTGACTGTGGTGATGGTGGTCCATTTGGCGCGGTTATAGTGCATAACAATGAGGTAGTGGTCAGCTGCCATAACATGGTTCTGAAACACAAGGACCCGACTGCACATGCTGAGGTTACAGCCATTAGAGAGGTTAGCTCAAGAAAAACCATAATGTCTCTGAACCATTGTAGCTTTACCATATCAGAGTTCCAAACTCTGTATGCCGTCTGACCCGTTTGATCTTTCTAATGCTTCATGAAAATGCAGGCTTGTAAGAAACTGAACCGAATCGAGCTGTCGGAATGCGAGATCTATGCATCTTGCGAGCCGTGTCCCATGTGTTTCGGGGCCATCCATCTGTCTAGGCTCAAGGTAAAACCTGCTAAAAAAAGGAACAAACCCATCTGGAAAAATCGTTTCTTTTCGTTCGGAATAAACTGGTAGATCTTTTTGTCTGATTGATGAGTGTATGCTTGTGGGGCCAGAGGTTGGTCTATGGAGCCAAAGCAGAAGCGGCCATAGCCATCGGGTTCGATGACTTCATAGCCGATGCCCTGAGAGGAACTGGCTTTTACCAGAAAGCTCAGCTTGAGATCAAGAAAGCTGATGGCAATGGCGCACAGATCGCCGAGCAAGTGTTCCAGAACACCAAGGAGAAGTTCCGTTTGTATTAGATCATCACCATCGCCATCATCATCATCATCATCATCATCCACATCATCATCATGCAAAACGATTAACTGAATAAACTCTCTTACATGAAATTGTCAATTTGAAAAACTCCAAAGTTGGAAATGTAAATACTCTGTTTCTTCTTTTATGGACTTTGTCGTCTTTTCTGTAGCAATTGCTAACAAAATTAAATAATTAAAAAGGTCAACCGCGAACGCTAACGCTCTTCAACTGAATGGCGTTTGTGGAACGCCCTTTAGCGGTTTTAAGGCTATTCACCTTTGCAAAAAAAGACGCTGAAGTCCCCCCAACTAACCGCAACCGCAATGACCAAGCGCGGGTAGGACCACCTCCCTCGTCATCGTATTTTGAGTGTAATACCGAAACTACCCCTGATTCTCTTGCCCTACCACCAATCCCCAAGCGAACCAAATCCTCGTGACCTGATCACGCTCTTCTATCTCTTTTCGGTCTCCATCTGGATCTGGAGCTCGAGCCCGGATCTGGTTCTTCCTCTTCCGACTCTGAAGCTCCCGATCATGGATGAAGCTAAAGGTAAGGATCCTTCTCCGCTCCTAGCATTGTGCCCAGAATCTCGGGTATCTGGATCGCGATCGAATTTTCGCTTTCCTGCTAGAGTTTTGTTGCGTCGGTTCGAGTTCGCAGGTTTTTGTTTGATTCGATTTTCTGGGTTTCGTTTCATCAGCCGTTCGTTTTAGATATACGATCTCAAATAAATCTCGTCGGAGGTTGAAATTTCTAGCCGAAATTTTGGATCGTCTGATTCCGACGAGGATTTGCGGGAGAACGACGATGTCGTGATCCCGGAGGGCAACGACGCCGATGAGGACGATCCGGAGGAAGATCTGAATTCGCCTTCTACCTCGTCGCTCGCCGTGGTTTCTGCTGTTTCGACGGCGACCGCGGTGATTTCTGGTGCGGAGGCGATGGCTTCCCCGACTGCAGCCGTCACCGTTGCCCTCCCGGCCGGATCCGCCGTCGCCGTGGCAGCGATTCCTGTAGATTCCGATCAGAAGTGGCATCATATGACGGAGATCGTTCAGCAGAGAGCCGCGCTAGACGACTCGAGACGGCTTTTCCAGAGGCTATGGACTGACGAGGACGAGATCGAGCTCCTCCGTGGGTTCCTGGAGTATATGACGACGCACCGTGGGAGCAGCTCTCATCCGCCGGACACGGCTCCGTTTTACGAGCAGATAAAGTCAAAGCTTCAGCTTGATTTCAACAAGAACCAGTTGGTTGAGAAGCTCCGGCGACTGAAGAAGAAGTACCGGAATGTGATGAGCAAGATCAATTCCGGCAAAGAGGTATTTTTCAAAAGCCCTCATGATCAAGCTACTTTTGAGATTTCTAAGAAGATCTGGAGCCATACGGGGAAAATCATAGGGTTTGAAGATAACAACGTCCTCGATTTCGAAGAAACAAATAACCACCACCTTCAACACCAACACCATGTAAATACCACCAATGGTAACTCAACCTTTAACAACCCTAGTGCTAATCTTAACATGGAGATTGATGCCGAGAATGGTTTTGAAAAGAAAGCGACGATGAGTAACAGTAGTGGGTCAAGGAAACGATCACGATCAAGAATTGGGAAAATGGAGGAAGACAAACCCATTACTCCATGTGATGGGCATGTACCAAATGCTGCCAGCAATATCAACCTCAATGAGAATGTGACTGGAGCTGGAGGGAATCTAGCAGGGTTGATAGAAGAGACTGTGAAAAACTGCGTCTCGCCCATAATCAAGGAGATGATGAATGGGACAACGGCCATGATGATGGCCGCGGTGGGAGGGCTCCCTGGGGCGGGCGGTCATGGCTTAGGCACATTAAGCTTAAGCCCTATCACAATGCCACCGCTGAATTTGGGGATTGGTGGGGGTGGAGGTAAGGGGATAATGGACGAGCGGTGGAGGAGACAGCAGATGTTGGAGTTGGAAGTGTACTCGAGGCGATTAGAACTGGTGCAGGAGCAGATTCGAGTCGCATTGCACGAGTTAAGGACAATGCCCAGCAGCGGAGGAGGCGGATGATGATGATGATGAACAAGAAGAAGGAAGGAGGTGATGATTTGTGTTGATATCTAAGTTATTAGTCTCACAAAGTCGTAATCTTTCGAGTTCTAATGGCATATACTATGGAATTGAGATGGTAGAAGTTTGTGTATAACCTTTTGTTGTTAGATTGTAGTTTTGTAGAATGTCATTTGTCCGATAACAAAAAAAAAAAACACTTTCAGACATGAACATTATTAATAAATCTAGCCATACTTGTAATAATCATTTTCTTTCGCTTGTGCATGTGATCCTTGACTCTGTGCTGCAGTTCGAAGCTCTTCTCATAGACTCGAATTTGATATATATATATATACATACCTATATATGTGCGTATATATGAATGTATATACCCCTTGATGAATGACAGAGTATAAGGATTCCGGTTTGGGATGATATGCAAGTGCCGGAAAGCTTTGCAGTATCCAAAATAAAACCGGTTTAAGAATTATCGTTTTATGATTCGGTATGCAATTGCAGGTGGTTTTTCCAAGTGGTGAAGAAAGATATTTGTTCGACTCTATCAGACATGAATTTTGTGCAACAATAAAAAAAAAATCGATATTTTGTATATAATAGTTTCTTAATTTATTTCGTGTTTATATTCCTGAAAACAATTTTAAAACTGAAAATAAAATAGATCAAAAGATTAATCACTGTTTGTTTCGGTAAAAATTGTAGCACATGCCGAAGTAGATTGTCTTAAGCACGATAACAAGTGTTTACCGATGTGCTCGTATAATTATCCCAAGTTAAATTCATTACCCACAAATTTCCAATAGATAAGGGTTACTGGGTAAGATGAAGCTCTCATTTCAGGCAAGTCATAAGAACATCTCTTGCAAGAAAAAAAAAAACAACCCAGCGATGAAACTTTGATGTTTCTCCAAGTGAATCAGCAAGTGGGTATGCTCTTATTGCTTCTGGGTTTGTCCATTTCGACGTCTCTCTCCTCAAAGTTTCTTTCTTTGATGGTTTCGTTCGCTTTTCCATCTCTGTTCAATTTGTTCGGTGAACCTCAAGATTCTGGTTCTGGGTTTGTGACAAAGCCTTTGAGCGTCGAAGTAGATTCATGTTTAGTGTGGGTTCTTTGGATTCTGTACATGTACTATTTGATTTGCTACGTGACATTTCATACCCAAAATGGCAAATCTTTGTCTTCTGAATCTCACTTTGCGGTAGCCCTTTTGCCCGATAGACTGTTTCAAACTTGCAGGAACGCATAAAGACGATTAGATGGAGGATGATCAATGCTTGATCAAGAAAGACGTGACTGAAGTAAAAGCTTATAATCCAACTCTTCTATACAATTGCTTAATAGGAAATAACAGCATGAGGTTTAATGGGTCTTGCATTTGAATAGCTGATAGGTAATACTCCAATGGTTTTTCTGAACAGTGTTGTGGATGGTTGCGTGGCCCGTATCGCTGCAAAGCTCGAGATGATGGAGCCTTGCTCTAGTGTCAAAGACCGGTATCTCGAAAACCCTTTCTTGCCTATTTCCCCTAAAACATATTTGTTCTGAAAATTCTCGAGCTTTTGATGTTGTTTCCACTTGCAGAATCGGGTATAGTATGATCAAAGATGCAGAAGAGAAGGGATTGATTACACCAGGGAAGGTACAACACTAACCAAGAATCTGTTCTTCTTCGTTACAATTTGACAGGAAGAGCTGAATTGCTTATATTGGATTTATAGAGCACACTGATTGAGGTAACTGCGGGCAATACCGGTATTGGCTTAGCCTTCATTGGAGCAGCGAGAGGTTACAAAGTGGTTCTCATTATGCCTGCAACAATGAGCCTCGAGAGAAAAATTGTTCTCAGAGCATTAGGTGCAGAAATTATCCTCGTAGACCCAAGCAAAGGCCTTAAAGGATGGATCGAGAAGGCTGAAGAGGTATTAAGCAAAACCCCGGATGGTTACTTCATGCAGCAATTTAAAAATTCTGCAAACCCAGATGTAAGGATTCTCCATCAACATTTTACCTGTGATGGGAGAGTGGATTACTCTTCGGCTCTTGCCCGCTTTCTCGTTCTCTGACCAGTGTTTTCTGACCTGGTTTGCGTAGATTCATTATCAAACTACAGGTCCAGAGATCTGGAGAGACTCTGCAGGGAGGGTAGATATATTGGTTGCGGGTTCTGGTACTGGTGGAACGATTTCTGCTGCAGGGAAGTTCCTCAAGGAGAAGAACAATGACATTAAAGTATGGAATGATATCTCGAATGCAAAACTTTTTCATTTGACTTCACATCACTTGCTCTCGAGACTATTGCACAGTTCTAGGCCTTAACTAGTTGAAACTGGCTCCAGTTTCCCCTGCCAGGCAAATTAGATTCAGTGTTTTGTTTCATTATGATCGCTATCTATCTACAGGTTTGCGCCGTTGAACCTGCAGAAAGTCCGGTGCTCAGTGGAGGGGAACCGGGTGAGCCTTTTCCCCTTTCGTGCTTCTGATTCAAACTTGTAATCTCATCAATTTTTAACCGGGCAAACATCATTCTTTCCCGGGTTTTTTTTCTTGCTGATAAACCTTTCTTGATCTCCGACCATTAAGCCAGCTTCCTTGTTTCCTGGTTTCTTGATTTGTAGGTCGGCATCTGATTCCAGGTATCCGGCCCGATATCATCCCAGATGCTCTGGATGTCAGCCTTCTTGATGAAATCATCCAAGTTAGTCGCTGAAATATACAGTCTTTTGTCACAGATTCTTGAACTTAACCGGCGTCTTGTTGAACCGGATGAAGATTTCACCAACTCATACTAAAATATGCAGATTTTCGACTTCTTTGCAGGTATCAAGCGAGGAGGCCATGGAAACAGCTCGGCTTCTCGCTCTGAAAGAAGGATTGCTAGTAAAATTTTCGTTCCAATTTGGTTAACGATTTGGATTTCGGTATAAAACCAAAACCGGTTTTTTATGATAGACACAAGCATTTGGCAGGTTGGAATATCATCTGGGGCAGCCGCCGCCGCTGCGTTGAGGATTGCGAAGCGGCCAGAAAACACCGGAAAACTCGTCGTGGTAAGTAGAATTATAGAAACCGACAGTGACATCTTTGGAAAGTTGTAGCTTTGTCTTAACTAGAAGGGGGTTCCGGTTTGGGATGATTTGCAAGAACCGGAAAGCATTGCTATAACCAAAATTAAACCGGTTTAAGAAATCTTGGTTTATGGTTCGGTATGCAGGTGGTTTTTCCAAGTGGTGGAGAGAGATATTTGTCGACTCAATTGTTCGATTCAATCAGGCATGCAGCCGAGAACTTGCCAATCGAATAAGACTAGTTCTGCTTAGCCCGTTTCGTCAGGAGTCGGTTTGGCCCGATCCGGTCCGGTCCGGAGAATCCTGCAAAATGGGTCTAACCAAGATTATGATGTTGTCGAATAAAATTCAGTCTAATCGGTACATTCGATTTGATAATTCCCTAATACTTCATATCTTTCCTACTCCTCATGTAGAAAAATGACAAAAAAAATCTTTAAATGGAAAACTAATACAATTTTAAGCTACTAGAATAATATATAAATATAAGTTATATAAGTTATACAATTTTAAGCCAAAGTGATTATCTGAGGGTTTTTTTTTTCTTGTGATATTATAATTAAATTAAATTGATTTTCCACTAATGATGTATTAGTCTTCTGTTCACTTAATTTGGTTATGTTTATATGTTCGTCATTCATCGTTACTTGTTTCTGAAGTTACTTTGTGCTGTTCTTGTTTTTTTTTTTTCTGTCCACAACTTAAACTCCCCCAAAAAAAAATCAGACATTGAAACAGGCAACATTTTCCAGATCCGCTTCTTGAAACTTCTCATAAACCCTAATTTTGCAGGGGGATTTCAGAAAGCATTATTGGCATTTGGCAATGGAAGAACAGTGCTGCTTGATCAAGAGAGATGTCACAGAGGTAAGTAAAAAACCCAATCTCCAAATCTCTTGCGTTGTTTCAGACATTTTTTTTTTGGTCGTGTCAGATCCGTTTGTTTCTTGAACTCTCTTTCTATTGAGCAGCTGATAGGTAACACTCCAATGGTGTATCTGAACAGCGTCACTGACGGATGCGTGGCTCGTGTCGCCGCCAAGCTCGAGATGATGGAGCCTTGCTCCAGCGTCAAAGACCGGTAATAAGAAAAAAAAAACTTTTTTTTCTTGGTTTGATTCTCTCTGATGAAACCTGGGTTTGTTTTCTTAATGCCGTTTCACTTGCAGAATCGCGTATAGTATGATCAAAGATGCAGAAGAGAAGGGTTTGATCACGCCAGGCAAGGTAAGCAGACAAAAACCCTAATAAACCCTCATCATCATCATCCTCATCATCGTCGTCATCGTCATATACTGCAGAGCACATTGATTGAAGCTACGGCGGGAAACACAGGGATAGGGTTAGCCTGCATTGGGGCAGCGAAGGGATACAAAGTCAGTCTAACGATGAGATCAGTGATGAGTCTCGAAAGGAAAATCATTCTTCGAGCATTTGGTGCAGAAGTTCATCTCACCGACCCGGAGAAAGGCACCGAGGGATTGTTAGAGAAGGCTCAAGAGCTAATCAGCGACACACCCGACAGCTTCATGGTCGGACAGTTCACGAATCCAGCAAATCCAGATGTATGCATATGTCTTGTCTCGGTTTCTTGCTTCCCAAGCCTCTTCCTTTTCTAGGGTTTTTTGTAAGTTTATTTTTCGGATGGATTTGTGCAGATTCATTACCGAACGACGGGGCCCGAGATTTGGAGAGATTCTGCCGGAAAAGTTGATATCTTTGTGGCGGGTGTCGGAACTGGAGGAACCGTTACTGGTGCCGGGAAGTTCCTCAAAGCGATGAACAAAGACATTAAGGTACACACATTTTATCGTTCTTTTGCATCTACTCGTTAGATAGATTAAAGAAAAAGAGAAAAACGTCCTTAAAGTTAGGCATCTAACAGATAAATTTACGGTTGTTATCTATCAGATTTGTGCAGTAGAACCTGCAGAATCTCCATTACTCAGCGGAGGGAGATCGGGTGATGAGTTTCTTTCTCTGGTTCATGAGACATCAAGAAATTAGGGTTTTGTTGGGTTTGGTTTAACAAACAGATTTGTAAACTGTTAGGGCATCATCTGATTCAAGGCATTGGAGCCGGTATCATACCAGATGTTCTTGATGTCGGCATCCTAGATGAAATTATTCAAGTACGTACCACACAATGTTCCAAAACGACAATATATACATAATATATATTATTATATCATCATAGGATGATGAAATCTTACTCGGGTGTCGATTCATTGTCAGGTAACTGGCGAGGAAGCCATTGAAACAGCTCGACTTCTCGCCTTGAAGGAAGGATTACTGGTACAAGTCTATCTGTTTTTTTTTTTCTGTTGTTTTAAGGATTCCGAGAAAGGATGGATTCTGATACGAGTCGTCGTCTCGTAGGTTGGAATATCATCTGGTGCTGCTGCAACGGCTGCGATAAAGATCGGAAAGCGTCCGGAAAATGCCGGAAAACTCATCGTGGTAAGCGAGATTGTTCAATCGATAAGTCTGGAAATTGATTTCTGAATGCATATGGTTATCTACAGTGATTCTTGTGGACCAAGAGACATATTTACTCAGTGCAAAAAGAATACGGGTTTCCATTGATTTCATCTGTTCCTTCTACTTAACCAACCAGACCCAATTCGGTCGAAGAACGATGCAAAACCGAGATCTAAACCGGTCCTGATTTTGGTGCAGGTGGTTTTTCCAAGCGGTGGAGAACGTTATTTATCGACTAAGTTATTTGAATCAATCAAAGAAGAAGCAGAGAAATTGCCGATTGAATGAGAAGCCATTTGGCTTTACCCGTTTTGGTTTGGTATGGTCATACCCATAACCAAGAATCCGGTTTGGTATGGTACGGTCACAAATAAGAGTATATGCATGATGTATCTCATTTTGAACATTTTGTTCATGATGATGTATCACGTATCTCCCCCAAATAACACACCCAGTTGACTTACAATAACGCATTCTTCTCATTTTTTGCGTGAACCCAAGAATATCTGTAACCCAGTGGAAGAATTTCCGGTTAGAGTTCGAAACCATTGTGGTGATGATGATGATGATGACTAGTGTGTTGGACCAACTAGACGGGTTTCAACCGGTTTAACCGAAGGAGAATTGAAGTCACTCAGTATCGCATTGGTTAGACCCGGTTAACATAAGATTTGGCCACTAAACCGGCTACGTGAGCTCCCTTGGAGGAAAAAACGCAAGTCTCATGAACCAGCCCAGAAAGGTAAACAACACCAGGGAGCGATTGGTCCCAAGCCAAAGCAATGAATAAAACAAAGAGGAAGAGAACAAAATTCCTCAAAAGAATCTATGCGTGTGTATATATATAGGAACTAATAAGTTCACAGCTCCTATCCCTTGCGGAAAACATAATTCCAGAATTGTGTCATCATTGCGTAAAACTAACCTTTTCGAGGCCCAGCTCCGTTGCAATCCCTCGAAGTAATACTTGGACGAGCTCTCTCACCTCGGTTTCCCTGAAAAATATCACGAGGTTCCATTAAAATTGTCACGGATCTGGATTCTGGTTTGCAGTTTTCGATGCAACCGTAAAGTTCTTGGCTATACATACAATACGATCAGTGAAAAGTCTCGACAGATACCTTGACACAACGAGCTCGCAAAGGGCGGGGAAAAGAACGAGAAGGTGAGAACGTTTGTCACGGTTATCTTCTCGTAGGATGGTTCTTAGAAACGGTTTTAATGGAAGAACTGATGTGGTGTCTGGGTGAATAGTGAGACGGTCAAGTTCTTGGAGGACATATACAATCTCTTCTAGTCTAGCTGTCGGTATTGGACGGTTGCCTGCCAAAATGAAAACACCACCGTTTAAGAAGTGAAGGGGCAGTAAATGAATATGGTATAAGGAGAATGGAGATCGGAACCTAGATTATTCTTGTCGATCAGAAATCTTCTCAAGATGTATTCGCATCTTTCCATGAGCAACATGATAGAGATTTTGCTCACTTCTAATCTGGTCGCATGCCACTTCTCCGTTTCGTCACTGATAACAGACAAAAATGTAGTTCAGGAATGTCAGATATCGGAGTAAAAGCTGCACAATGAGACAAAGACTGATGAACAATCTTAAAAGATCTTCACAGCAGATATTAGTGTCATTCATGTAAAGGAAGACGACAAGAGAGCAAAAGCATAGGCAAAGTACATGGACAAGCTTTTATGAAAAGAAATCTGCCCAGTTTGATATTACCTGCTCAAGGAAAACAATTTCTGCAAGCATGTCAACGAGAATCTGCTACAATGGGGAGGCATCAGCTCTACAGTTTCAATAGGCAACGAGCACGTACGTGATGCACAACGGTCCAGGGTTGAAACAAGCCGCTCCAAGACCTATGGACGGAAGAAACAGACAGATCATATGAGAATCTCTCCCAGAGATTAGGAAAACTCAGGGCGGTTATTGCAAATTCCAATTTTTAGGTTAGCAGAGATGACTGAAATGAAAACCGAGTACTCACTTCTCGAGGGGCATCAACATTAGACTTAAGAATAACATCCCCGAGACCGTTTAACAAGGCCATCTCGAGGGTTTCATTGGCCTTAAGAGCGGCAGCAGGGAGAGAATTAGAGGAAAGCGCACGTCCACAATAACCGACGAGAAATATCTCATAGACATCTCCCACTTCTTTCCAGATGCGTGTTCGGGCAGTTTTGCTAAGTTTCAGGTCCATGTCACCACCCACAGCACATCTTTTGACATCCTCAACCAGCATACGGTTGAAGCCCTCAGCCGCTACCTTCCAGAGTGAACCATCTGGATTGTCTCTTCTTGATGTCATGCACCTGGAAAAATTTGCAGACCTTAACGTTTAACAAAATTCGGACCAAAATATACCCTGTATCCAAAAACAACAGGAGAACAACCAAATAGTTATGGTGACTCAACTGCCCTAGACAAGTTGCATATTTCTTTGCTCAATTTTTTTTTTCTTGTGTGGACGGGCAATTGAAGGGGGAATAGTCAACATCAACATCAAGATCAACATCGCTTTAATCCCAAGTTTATTTGGGATCGACCGCATTAATTTATCGTTTCCACTCATTTCGATTTTGGGTTATTTTCCGAGATTTGCAACAACTTCAAATCATTGCTAACTGACTCGTTCCCAAGTGAAGGGGAATAGTGCGGACTAAAAATTTGCATGATCTTAACATTCAATTTTTGTTTTCTTTTCTTATCCAAGCCCCCACATATGACGAGACCGTTAGAGAAAAGACATTTCTGATTTCGTTTGACTGACATGGCAGTACAATGTACCTTCCGAGGGTTTGGATGATTTCTGGAAACAAGATATACTTTTCAACTGCAGGAGCCTGCAGGAGAAGCTCCACCAAGGCAGGAATTAGCTTCTCTGCGAACATAGTACCGCCTATCCTTGATGTTGGAGTTTCTCTGATGGCGGTCTTCTTTTCCGTTACTACACCATCTGGGATGAAATGAAAAGAATATCAGAATCCGGCCTAGTTAAAAGTAATATCATCGAGGATAAGTGCTTACTTGCATGTTCACCTGTACTGCTCTGCTCAGCTTCACCTTCCTCATTTGACGCGACAAAATCAAATCGTGGAAGATAATGCAAAAACTCTCTGAGCAGGATTAGCCACATTGAAGAAAGGTGCTCAGGAGGACCCAAGGAGGGCAAGATCTCCAAAACCATACGTAGTACAGGTGGGACATGTCCCTTAATATCATTAATGGAACAGGTGTAAGATGGATACAAGGAAGACAATTCAATTTGAAAGCATTGATGATATAAAAGTAGAGAGAAGACAAAGACTTACAAACTCGGTTTCAAAGTTTTCACTATCTATCATGGCCTGTTTTATTGCCAAATCTACAATTGCCAATAACTGCATGTACATTTTATCATCAAACATCTTCTTCGATTGCACATACAGTTCACCTGTCCAAGTTGGAACATACAAATCAAGTAAACAAAAACTTATATTGGCTAATTATTCAACCGAGGAAACGTCTGCAGTTCCAGTCATTCCAGTTCATTGAATTTTCCAAGGAAAAATCTTACGTGAACAATATAGAAAAAAGAATTCGGTAGAAAGGATTAATTACCTAAACCATGCAGAATCTCCTGTTTCACATTGGTTGCCGTATCACCACTGTAACTTGATGACTTTTGGAAAACAAGCTCATACACATCCATTACTGAATTAAGGTAACGTACTGGTAAATTCCCCTGATTCAATAAAACAGTTAGCTGAAAACTGCAACACGGCCAATGATGTTTATTACTTGACAGTCTCTACAATGGAACTTTAGAATTTCAAGCAGATGTATTGTTACCTTGACAGAGTGGGATACAACAGCCGTTTGCAGACAATTTATTGCCGCAAGTGCGACCTCTTTACTTCCATTAAAAATGCTATTCTTAACAAAATCAAGCAGAGACTCCCATCCTGCAGAAGTAGAAAGTCCAAGCTATTTAGCAGGTTAAAAAAAGGGGAAAGAATAGGATGGCCAGCAAAACTCTCTATTGGCTCACCTGACCAGAAGTTACGTAAGCCTATAAGAAGGGGAAAGAACGATCGGAAG